CTTCTACTAGGTGATGTTGCCCTGGCAGTGCTTATAGGTGATTTAGGGGCAGGGAGGGAGGTGCGGCCTGTGGTGTGTCTGACACCCCTGCCGTGCCTGGCCCTCGACACAAGCCTCCCACACTCGGCCTCTCGGCCTCAGGCTCTTCACTGGGTTTCCAGCTCTGAGCAGGTCATGTAGAAATTAACGTGGGAGATGGGTGGAACAGACTCAAGGCCTGGGTGGCAGAGGAGGGAGGGAGTTGCTGTGGTCGGGCCTGGAGGCAGGAGCAGGCCTGGGCAACAGCGCACTGAAGCCAGGCATAGTTCCCATTCAGGAGCCAGGTTGGGGACTCATGAGAGCACAAAGGGACCCTGGGCAAGTCACAGAAAGTGCAGCACTTGGCTCTGGGAACGGGGCGAGGTCTGCGGTGGCCTGCCTTGACGACGCCTCCTGCAGGTACCGGGCAGTGTACCAGTACAGGGCCCAGAACGAGGATGAGCTGAGCTGCGCGAGGGGACCGGGGTGGATGTCATGCAGCCAGTGTGACGATGGCTGGTTGTGGGTATGGTGGGCCGAGGTGGCTGGAGGGCAGGCGGGGGGGATGGGGGTGTCAGGGCCCCATGTGGTGGTGGGCTGCTGCCTCCTTCCTTCATGCCCTGAGGGGAGGGTGGGCCCGGGAGAAACTGGCACCTGCCCGAGGTCATTGCTGGAGTCACTGTGGACTCGGGGCAGGGGTCTGGACCGCAAGATCCCTGCTTCCTCCCTCTGCAGCAGTCTTGGGGAAGCTCCTGGTGGAAGGACATGGTCTCATACCTATGTGCCCTCAACCCTAACTACCCCCCCACCCTGCCTGGGAAGAGGGAGGGGTGGAGAAAGAGCCTGGCCCCCTCAGGGCTGGCCAAGGGCAGCTCAGGCAAGAACTAACAGAGGAAGCCTCAGGTTGGCCTTGGCCTGGTTTAAGGTGACCAACCTGCCAGGCTTCCCATGGCCTGTGTCCCTGGGAGTAGGCAGGCCCTGTCCAGGCTTAAGCTTCCAAGGACAGGCCGTCCCCAGAGAGAAGTGAAAACCAGAAGCGCCCCTATTGCTACCCCAGGCAGGCTTCAGGGCCTGAGGGCTCTGGGGGGCCAGCTGGGTGCCCTCCTTTCTGATCTGAATTTCAGTACCTCCCTGCCGGCTCCTGAACACAGTGATGGTGAAGCACCAGCTTGGGGAACAGTCCTTACCTCTGAGAGGGGTGGGCTTGGGGTACATTCTGATTTACTCTATACGCTTTTGTTTTGAATTTTTTTCAAACTACTAATTAAAGTTCTGCAAATTTACACAGACAGAGAGAAAGCACCGCTTTTATGGTATAAGCCACAAGTGCTTTGAGAGGAATGGTTTCGGACCCGCACCACCCAGTACAATAGCCACTAGCCACATGTGGCTGTTTAGATTTACTTAAAATGAAATAAATAAATAATTCAGTCACTCAGTCCACTAGCACGTTTCAAGCACTCAGTAGCTTGCATGTGGCTGGCGGCTGTCATTCTGGACAGGGCAAGTCTGGAGGGCTTCCTGGAGGAGGTGGGAGAAGAGGCAGGGGCAGCACATTTCTCGAGGGCTGGGGGCAGGATGAAGGGGCTGCTCCTGGAGGGAGTCAGGATGCCAGCCTTGGAAGGGGGAGCCCCGAGCATCGGTTTACCTGGGATCAGGACTCACTTTCAGTTGATATCCTGTGTTTCTAGCATTCCCCCCTCCTCTCCGACACAGGTTTTTTGGGGTGTTGCAGACCAGAGACTGAACTGTAGTCCTGACTTCCAAGCAGCTGGGTGCTTTGGGGCAGTTCACTGGGCCTTCTCTTGGCCTTACCTCCCATCTTGAAGTTGGGGCACCCTACTAGACCAGCCCATATCCTGCCGCGTCCTCACTTTCGAAGAAGGGTAGAGTTGTTGAGTGCTGTGTGCAAAGTTGTACGTGTTTTCATTGGCCCAGATTCTCTTTAATTACTGAATCTAGGAAGGCAAAGCTGCCCATCTCAGCTTCTGCCATAGGGGCAAGGAACGCGCCACAACAGATCAAATCCGCCCTCTGCAGTGCCCGCGCACGGCCGGCAGGGGGCAGGGCCCGCAGCCCCACGTTCCTGTTTGAAAAAGGAGTGTGGGGAAGGCTCTCTCTGTCTCTCTCCTCTTCCAGGTGTCTCCCGGCGGACCCAGAAATTTGGAACGTTCCCTGGAAATTACGTCGCCCCGGTGTGAGTGGTCCCCGTGGCGACTCGAGCCAGCAGGATGGGGTGGAGCCGTAGCGCTCGTGGAATGGCGTGGACCCCTCCATCCTCCTCGCAGGACCTGAGGTCCCGGCATCTGCAGACGCCAGCAGCCCCTTCCCTTGGGCCCCCGCGAAGCCCCCGGACTGATTCCCACCACAACTCGCAGGCATTCCTCCAGCAGCCCTTTCATTTCCGCCCGCCACTCCAAATACAGAGGTCTGCTTTGAAGCGGAGACTGTTTCCAGGCCTTATTGAGACCAGACCCCGGGCCCCCACCCCACCCGCTATGGTTTCCTCTAACAGGGACGGGCTCTGCTTCACCCCCATGGTGGTTCCTCTAACAAGGACCAGCTTCCTAACCTCACAGAGACCAAAGGCCTCCTCCGCTTGGAGGGGTCCCTCCCCTTTAACTCCAGCTTTCCCCCCCACCCGCCCCTTTGCCTTCTTGTTCCAGCTGGGCCTGGGAGTGGGTGGGGCAGGTGTGGCAGCTCCTCACCTCCAGGCCCTGCAAGGGGGTCTTGCTTTAAGGCCTGCTCTGCACAGAGGTGCCATGCTCTGGGCCTGGCTCTGCGCCTCTGGCCCGCCAGATGTGTGACACCCAATGTCGCTGCCCTCCTGCCTGCCACCTCCCCTCCCCCCCAGCCCCCAAGCTCCCCTGGGGAAGAGAATATAAAATAAATCTGGATACCAGGGACCTCATCTCTGAGACCTTTTCCTTTCGGGGTGGGAGAGGCCTCCCCTGCTTAGCAGTGTGGAAATCCTTTCTGCAGTGGGCTGTGCGGGAGTCAGGCGGGACAGGTGTGTGTGTGTGTGAGGGTGGAAATACCATCATTATCCCCCAGATCTCAGCCTTGGGGAGTCAGGCAGGGTTGGGGGGAAGCCCCAGGATCAGGCAGCTGAGAAGCGCTCAGAGGACAAATGTCACCGGGACCAGGGCAAGGCCTGACTGTGGGAGGAATCGGAGACGGGGAACTGACTGTGGCCTTGTTTGCAGGCTGTTTTGATTCTGCAGCCGCCACCGTGGGTTGCTGGACTGGATGACATTTCTGACTATTCCTCTTGCTAATGTTTTCCTTCTGTGCTCTCCGTTTCCACACTGAAGGCTCGTGTGTTGTTTATTTTCTCTTTCGGTTCAAGTTTGTGAGCAGTCGGTTCCAGGAGGCTGGGAGTGGTGGGCACAGCTAGCCAAAGCAATGGGGCTTGGTGGTCCCTGTGGGATGTCGAGGTGCACAGCCTGTGGTGTGGCCAGAAAGGAAAGCTCAGTTCCTTGGCTGCCGCTGAGCACTAAGCAGGGCGTAAGGGCGACCCGTGTGTCCTCTAGCTCGAGCATCACAACTGGCAGGTTAGCAGTTCCCTTTTACCAGGGAGACCACGGTCTTGGGAATTCCCATGTTTCCCGAAAATAAGACAGGTCTTATATTTATTTTTCCTCAAGAAGACGCCCTAGGGCTTATTTTCGAGGATGTGTTATTTTCCCTCAAAGCCTCAGCTTGGTAGGGGCAAGGTCTGCCTGGCATTTGGTAGATTTTGTGCAATCGGGTGGACCTGACTTCAGCATTTCATAGTGCCTGTGACCTACACAATTTACCGTGTTTCCCCCAAAATAAGACCTACCCATAAAATAAGCCCTAGCAGGATTTCTAAGCATTTGCGCAATAGAAGCCCCACCCCGAAAATGAGACCTAGTGACGGGCGTGGCTGCGCAGCACATCTGCACAACCCATGCATTTTGTCGCAGAGTGGTAAAGAAGATGAGCAGCCCTTCTCATCTGCCCCATCGTGTCAGCTACCATCCCAGAGGTGACTGGAAAGGTGCGGGCAGCCCCACCAACAAGGTCGGCTCCCCCTGTCAGGTCCTGGCCATCCTGTGCGTGCTGCAAGCTGAGGCTTTGAGGGGAAAATAACACATCCCTGAAAATAAGCCCTAGGGCGTCTTCTTGAGGAAAAATAAATATAAGACCCTGTCTTATTTTCGGGGAAACATGGGAATTCCGCAGAGCCGTGGTCTCCCTGGTAAAAGGGAACTGCTAACCTGCCAGTTGTGATGCTCGAGCTAGAGGACACACGGGTCGCCCCTTACGCCCTGCTTAGTGCTCAGCGGCAGCCAAGGAACTGAGCTTTCCTTTCTTGGCCACACCCAGGCTGTGCCACCGTCGACATCCCACAGGGACCACCAAGCCCCATTGCTTTGGCTAGCTGTGCCCACCACTCCCAGCCTCCTGGAACCGACTGCTCACAAACTTGAACCGAAAGAAGAAAATAAACAAACACACGAGCCCTTCAGTGTGGAAACGGAGAGCACAGAAGGAAAACATTAGCAGAGGAATAGTCAGAAATGTCATCCAGTCCAGCAACCCCACGGTGGCGGCTGCAGAATCAAAACAGCCTGCAAACAAGGCCACAGTCAGTTCCCCGTCTCCGATTCCTCCCCACAGTCAGGCCTTGCCCTGGTCCCGGTGACATTTGTCCTCTGAGCGCTTCTCAGCTGCCTGATCCTGGGGGCTTCCCCCCCAACCCCTGCCTGACTCCCCAAGGCTGAGATCTGGGGGGATAATGATGGTATTTTCCACCCTCACACACACACACACACCTGTCCCGCCTGACTCCCCGCACAGCCCACTGCAGAAAGGATTTCCACACTGCTAAGCAGGGGAGGCCTCTCCCACCCGAAAGGAAAAGGTCTCAGAGATGAGGTCCCTGGTATCCAGATTTATTTTATATTCTCTTCCCAGGGGAGCTTGGGGGCTGGGGGGGGGGAGGGGAGGTGGCAGGCAGGAGGGCAGCGACATTGGGCTGTCACACATCTGGGCCGGGCCAGAGGCGCAGAGCCCAGGCCCAGAGCATGGCAGCCTCTGTGCAGAGCAGGCCTTAAAGCAAGACCCCTTGCAGGGCCTGGAGGTGAGGAGCTGCCACACCTGGCCCCCACCTCACTCCCAGGCCCAGCTGGAAGCAAGAAGGCAAAGGGGGCGGGGTGGGGGGGAAAGCTGGAGTTAAAGGGGAGGGACCCCTCCAAGCGGAGGAGGCCTTTGGTCTCTGTGAGGTTAGGAAGCTGGTCCTTGTTAGAGGAACCCCATGGGGGTGAAGCAGAGCCCGTCCCTGTTAGAGGAAACCATAGCGGGGTGGGGGTGGGGGCCCGGGGGTCTGGTCTCAATAAGGCCTGGAAACAGTCTCCGCTTCAAAGCAGACCTCTGTATTTGGGAGTGGGGCGGGGCGGAAATGAAAGGGCTGCTGGAGGAATGCCTGCGAGTTGTGGGTGGGAATCAGTCCGGGGGGCTTCGCGGGGGCTCCAAGGGAAGGGCTGCTGGGGGCGTCTGCAGATGCCGGGAGCTCAGGTCCTGCGGAAGGAGGATGGGGGTCCACGCCCCCTTCCACGAGCGCTACTGCTCCCACCCCATCCTGGCTGGCTCCGAGTCGCCACGGGGACCACTCACACCGGGGCGACGTAATTTCCAGGGAACGTTCCAAATTTCTGGGTCCGCCGGGAGACACCTGGAAGAGGAGAGAGACAGAGAGAGCCTTCCCCACACTCCTTTTTCAAACAGGAACGTGGGGCTGCGGGCCCTGCCCCCTGCCGGCCGTGCCGGGCACTGCAGAGGGCGGATTTGATCTGTTGTGCGCGTTCCTGCCCCCTAGTGGCAGAAGCTGAGATGGGCAGCTTTGCACTTCCTAGATTCAGTAATTAAAGAGAATCTGGGCAATGAAAACACGTACAACTTTGCACACAGCACTCAACAACTCTACCCTTCTTCGGGAAAGTGAGGACGCGGCAGGAATATGGCTGGTCTAGTAGGGTGCCCTCAACTTCAAGATGGGAGGGTAAGGCCAAGAGAAGGCCCAGTGAACTGCCCCAAAGCACCCAGCTGCTTGGAAGTCAGGACTACAGTTCAGGTCTCTGGTCTGCAACACCCCCAAGAAACCTGTGTCTTGAGAGGAGGAGGGGAATGCTAGAAACACAGGGATATCAACTGAAAGTGAGTCCTGATCCCAGGTAAACCGATGCTCGGGGCCTCCCCTTCCAGGCTGGCATCCTGACTCCCTCAGGAGCAGCCCCTCCTCATCCTGCCCCCAGCCCTCGAGAATGTGCTGCCCCTGCCTTTCTCCCACCTCCTCCAGGAAGCCCTCCCAGACTTGCCCTGTCCAGAATGACAGCCGCCAGCCACATGCAGCTACTGAGTGCTTGAAACGTGCTAGTGCGACTGAGTGACTGAATTATTTATTTTATTTCATTTTAAGTAAATCTAAACAGCCACATGTGGCTAGTGGCTATTGTACTGGGTGGTGCGGGTCCAAACCATTCCTCTCAAAGCACTTGTGGCTTATACCATAAAAGCGGTGCTTTCTCTCTTGTCTGTGTAAATTTGCAGAACTTTATTAGTAGTTGTGAAAAAATTCAAAAACAAAAGCGTATAGAGTAAACCAGAATGTACCCCAAGCCCACCCCTCAGAGGTAAGGACTGTTCCCCAGCTGGTGCTTCACCATCACTGTGTGTCAGGAGCCGGCAGGGAGGTACTGAAATTCAGATCAGAAAGGAGGGCCCCAGCTGCCCCCCAAGCCCTCAGGCCCTGAAGCCTGCCTGGGGTAGCAATAGGGGCGCTTCTGGTTTTCACTTCTCTCTGGGGACGGCCTGTCCTTGGAAGCTTAAGCCTGGACAGGGCCTGCCTACTCCAGGGACACAGGCCATGGGAAGCCTGGCAGGTTGGTCACCTTAAACCAGGCCAAGGCCAACCTGAGGCTTCCTCTGTTAGTTCTTTGCCTGAGCTGCCCTTGGCCAGCCCTGAGGGGCCAGGCTCTTTCTCCACGCCCTCCTCTTCCCAGGCAGGGTGGGGGGGTAGTTAGGGTTGAGGGCACATAGGTATGAGACCATGTCCTTTCCACCAGGAGCTTCCCCCAAGACTGCTGCAGAGGGAGGAAGCAGGGATCTTGCGGTCCAGACCCCTGCCCCGAGTCCACAGTGACTCCAGCAATGACCTCGGGCAGGTGCCAGTTTCTCCCGGGCCTCACCCTCCTCAGGGCATGAAGGAAGGGAGGCAGCAGCCCACCCACATGGGGCCCTGACACCCCCCATCCCCCCCGCCTGCCCTCCAGCCCACCTCGGCCCACATACCCACAAACCAGCCATCGTCACACTGCTGCATGACATCCACCCGGTCCCCCTCGCGCAGCTCCAGCTCATCCTCGTTCTGGGGCCTGTACTGGTACATCGCCCGGTACCTGCAGGAGGCGTCGTCAAGGCAGCCACCGCAGACCTCGCCCCGTTCCCAGAGCCAAGTGCTGCCACTTTCTGTGACTTGCCCAGGGTCCCTTTGTGCTCTCATGAGTCCCCAACCTGGCTCCTGGAATGGGACTATGCCTGGCTTCAGTGCGCTGTTGCCAGGCCTGCTCCTGCCTCCAGGCCCGACCACCAACCCTCCCTCCTCTGCGCACCCAGGGCCTTTGAGTCTGTTCCACCCATTCCCACGTTTAATTTCTACATGACCTGACCTCAGAGCTGGAAACCCAGTGAAGAGCCTGAGGCCGAGAGGCCGAGTGTGGGAGGCTTGTGTCGAGGCCAGGCAGCTGGCAGGGGTGTCAGACACACCACAGGCCGGCACCTCCCTCCCTGCCCCTAAATCACCTATAAGCACTGCCAGGGCAAGCATCACCTAGTAGAAGTTTCCCAATCCATAGGTGGGGGCAGAGGGCAGGAGGGGGACTGCCTGCTGGAGACCCCACCCCTGACCAAGCACCCTCAGGCGGTACTCACGGGGTCCAGTGTATCTGAGTCGTGTTAGGGGAGGGGGCCCTCAGGTCCAGGGGCCGGCTGGAGCTTTGAGGGTGGGACAGAGCTGACCCTGCGGTGCTGAGACTCTGTGGTTCACAGGAGGAGGGGGGGTCAGAGGGAGGAAGGTGATGGGTGCATCCAGGCAGGAGGGAGAAGAACAGAAATGGGCCTCCCCACCCCACTTGTCAGAGCATCTCACGCACGGCCTCGCCTTGTCCTCACAGACTGCGACACAGGAGGACGTGCTAGGACTATTTCATCTCACACTTCTGTTTCTAATGTCAGCTATAACCTACCCAACCACCCTCTGCAGTGGGACTTATTATCCCCATTCTACAGGTGAGAAAACCCAAACCCAGGTAAGTCACCTGCCCAAGGTGACACAGCAGGTGAATGGCAGAGTCCTGACCCCCAGCACCACCCTGTCCAGAGCAGACACAGGTAAATCATGACAGAGCGACATCTGGAGGGTCAGTGGGCCTGGGCTGGCTTTGGGGTCCCACCTAGTGCTGGCTGGCTGCCCCATGCCTCCCTGGCCTGGCATCCAAGGACCAGTACCAACTCGAGGGCTTGGGGTCGCCCAGGCCAGGGTGGGCTGCAATGCTAGGTTCTGCCTGTCACCCCTCTACTCGTCCTGGGCCTGTCCAGGAAGGATTCCTGAGTGTGGACCAGTCACGGGGATGGGGCTGTGTGGTCTGGTCGAGACAGCCACCTCACCTGGGGCTGGGGTCTGGGCTCCTGGGCAGGGTAAGAGAAGCCAGTGCGGCGGGGTGACGTCCGGCCCCCCCAGTCGGTGGGGTCAGCTGGGCTGCGTGGCGCTGAGGGGGAGCTGGGGTGACGGGCCAGGCGGGTGGCAGCAGTCAGGCGAGGAGACGCAGGGAGCTGGGGGCCATCCTCGCAGACCCGGAGCCGGGGCTCGCGGCACACCTGCACGTAGCTGGCGGGGAATATCCCCTGGCGCCCCGTGCCCGGGATGCGCCCCTCGTACCAGTTCTCGTTCACCTTTCGGATCAGGCAGATGCGCTCCCCCTGCGGGAGGAGAGTCAGTGGCTGCAGGCCTTGCTGGTGCCATGCACCGAGGGTGCCCCACCTGGACTGTCCCATTCAAGCCTGACACCTTGCACACACGAGGGATCAGGCTCAGAGTGGCTCAGCACGTTACCTGAGGCCACACAGAAAGTGGAGAGTCAGCAGCCAAACCCAGGCTGCCTGGGCGAGCAGAACTCTGAGCTGTCCCCATGCACACAGAGCTGAGGTCCTGCCTTGGGAAGCCCACCACACGTGCACTCTCCCTCCGGGGTCTCAGCACGGTCCCTCCCCAGAGCTGCAGTCACAGGGAGCCCGTGGCTAACAGCAGATCCAAACTCAGCTCTGCCAGATCCCTGCCGTGGGCAGTCTGCTCTGCTGCTCTGAGTCTTGGTTTCCCCATTTGTGAAGTGAGGACAACCATACTGTTGCCGTGAAGCACAAACGAATCGTCAACTCCTAAGGTGCACGGGACAGGCGTTAGCTGCCACCTCTATGACAGTGTCCTGTCCCTGCCTCACTCGCTGAGTGATCCTGACATGAGTGCATCAAAAAAGCAAATTCCCTGAGGTCTGGCGGTGAGTCCTCCAGCCCGAGGGCTGAGCGACATTAGGGGCAGAACCACTACCACCTCAGGGGGCCACCCCAGGGAGGGTGGTCTCCCGCCCTCACCCTCCCCTGCCCTCTTCTGCCCCTTACCTCTCTCCACCCAGCCCTCTTCTTCCTCTCTTCCCCTGGGGCCAGCTCTTCCAGGTGGCATTCACTAGGGACATTCATGGCCTCTGCCCCAAAAACCAACCCAAGGGAGATCACTTCCCTGTTTTCTAGAACAGCATTGTTTTTCAAATTTTTCCCACCACAATCTATGTACAAAATATGTTTTAATAACAGCCCAGAATACATATTTATATATACATAACTGCCTAGAATTTGATAAGCTACCCTTTCTACATGCAATGTATTCTAATATTTCTAATAATTCTAATATTTCTAATAACTATTCCTTTAAAAATGCTGACTGGGATCCTCACAACCTGCCAATCTGCAGTTGGAAAAAACACAACTCTAGAAGTTTATAACAATCTTTTTTTTTTTTGAGATAGGGTCTTGCTGTGTTGCCGAGGCATGAGTGCAGTGGTGTCATCATAGCTCACTGCAACGTCAAACTCAAGTGATCCTCCTGCCTCAGCCTCACAAGTAGCTGAGACTATAGGCACACACCACTGCACCTGCTAATTTTTGTATCTATTGTAGAGACGGGGTCTTGTTATGTTGTTCAGGCTTGTCTTGAACTCCTGACCTCAAGCAATCCTCCTCTGAAACTACTAGGATTACAGGCATGAGCCACCACACCCCGCCTATAACAATTTTTTTTTCTTTTGAGAAAGAGTCTCACTCTGTTGCCCGGGCTAGAGTGCCGTGGCATCAGCTTAGCTCACAGCAACCTCAAACTCCTGAGCTCAAGCCATCCTCCTGCCTCAGACTCCCGAGTAGTTGGGACTACAGGCATGTGCCAACACACCTGCCTAATTTTTCTATAGATATATTTTCAGTTGGCCAATTAATTTCTTTCTATTTTTAATAGAGACAGGGTCTCACTCTTGCTCAGGAGGTGGTTTCGAACTCCTGACCTTGAGCGATCCGCCCTCCTCAGCCTCCCAGAGTGCTAGGATTACAGGTGTGAGCCACTGCACCCGGCCAATTTTTTAAAAAATGGACTATATCAAGGGAAACATAATTGCAGAGGTTATGTAAAACTTTGAAATACCGGTGAAGATAAGTATACCTGACTCTTTAAAAAATTGTTTTTGGTGCACATATTTGTCTACATCTTTAGCTGCCCCTACCCACCCCACAATTTCTGCCTGGCCTCACCTTGCGGAAAGACAGCTCCACCTCCAGCTCCCCCTTGAAGTTGTACTGGGCCAAGGCTTCTCCATACTCCACCACCTGGTAGGTCGGGGGCTTGATGGGCTTGGGGATCTCATCTGCGGGCAGCACCTGCAGGAAGAAAGCTCATGAGAAAGGTCGCCCTGGGCATCAGCTGAGCACAGACCAGCGGCTCCTGGGAGAGTGAGACATCAAAGACCAGGTGGTATGGGCAAGGGCTGCCCCTGGCCAGAGAGAAGACGCCAACACCAGACACAAGCTCTGGGGGTGACCAGGAGTGAGCACAGCCAGGGAGGGATAGAGAGGTAGCCCAAGAAGGCTCCCCGGAAGAAGAATTTTCAACAGAGTTGTATGGAGCGGGTATTACCAAAGTGGGGAATGGCAAGTTTCTGTTTCTTTTGTACTTTTATTATATGAACACTTCAGGTAACTTTGTACTTGGAATAATTCTTTTTTTTTTTTTTTTTTTGAGACAGAGTCTCACTTTGTTGCCCAGGCTAGAGTGAGTGCCATGGCATCAGCCTGGCTCACAGCAACCTCAAACTCCTGGGCTCAAGCGATCCTTCTGCCTCAACCTCCCGAGTAGCTGGGACTACAGGCAGGCGCCACCATGCCTGGCTAATTTTTTCTATATATATATTAGTTGGCCAATTAATTTCTTTCTATTTATAGTAGAGACGGGGTCTCGCTCTTGCTCAGGTTGGTTTCAAACTCCTGAGCTCAAAGGATTCCGCCCGCCTCCGCCTCCCAGAGAGCTAGGATTACAGGCGTGAGCCACCGCGCCCGGCCAATAATTCTTAAAAGAATGAACTAGCCGGGCACAGGCATGGTGGCTCATGCCTGTAATCCCAGCACTTTGGCAGGCCGAGACAGGAGGATTGTTTGAGGTCAGAAGTTTGAGACCAGCCTGAGCAACATAATGAAACTCAGTCTCTACAAAAAATTAAAAATTAGCATTGTGGCACGTGTCTGTAGTCACAGCCACTGAGGAGGCTGAGGTGGGGGGATCACCCAGGAGTTTGAGGTTGCAGTGAGCTAGGCTGACGCCAGTGCACTCTAGTCCAGGCAGCAGAGCAAGACTCCGTCTCAAGAAAACAAAACAAGAAAAAAAATTTCACCCTAAAAAACTAGGGGTGAAAAAAAGAACAAATTAAACCTAAAGCAAGCAAAAAGAAAGAAGTAATAAAGAGGCAGAAATCAGTAAAGTCGGAAACAAAAATGACAGAGAAAAATCAATGAAATTGATAGCTGTGTCTTTGAAAAGATCAAGAAAATCAATGAAGCTCCAGCCGGAAGACACAAATGGCCAATATCAGGAATGCAAGAAAGGGTATTGCCACAGATTTTACTGACGTTAAAAGGATAATAAGGGAGTATTATGAACAACTTTATGCCAATAAATTAGACAACTTGACATTCCTTAAAACACACAAAGAGCAGAGATGGCCTATAGTGCTTCACCTATCATCACGTCCAGAACCTGTCTCTGGAATCAGAAGACCTGAGTTCAGATCCTGGATCTTCTACCTAACAACTTGTCACTGAGCCTTAATAACCCCATCTGCAAAATGGGGATCGTCTGTCACTCTCCAGGCAGTGTGGCAGGAACAAGGGAGGTAATACACCTGGGAGAGGTGATGCGTGTATATGTGATCTGTAAGCTGTCACACACTTCACGCACTTGCCAGTTGCAATTAGACAACTTGCCAGAGACAGCTTTAGAAAGCCGGGTTCTGGGTGGGGAACGTCTGGGACGCTGACACTGACGGTTGATGAGCTGGGCCGCTGGGTCCTACCTGGGGCTGGGCCCCACCCTCATCTCCTGAGTGTACACAGAGCACTGGGCCAGGGGGCCGAGGACATTTATGAGATGTGGCCCCTGCACCTCGGTTCTACATCTTAGGAAGCCCGGGGCCTGCACACTAGGTCTCTCCCAGCCTGGCCCCTGCCTACTCCTGTCCGCCAGCTCACCTCCACGTAATTAACAGGGAAGATGCCCAGTCGGCCGTGGTGCTCCCCCTCCAGCCAGTTCCTGTCCACCTCCTTGTGGATGTAGACGATGTCACCCTTCTGCAGCGTCAGCTCCCTGCAGACCAGAGTGAGGATGTCACAGCATGCCAAGGCCCTCCAAGCCCCCTTCCCTGCAGGCCCTGCCCAGCGCACCCTCCGCCCCTCTGGATATGGGCACTGCAGGCCTGTTCCCTCTGCCTTCGGAGACTGCCAGGGTGGGAGGGGAAGGGAGAGACAGGCACTTACTTGGGGGACTGTGCCTGGAAGTCAAACTTGAGCCGAGCGGCCTTCCTCTGGGCAGGGGGAGAGGACAGAGTGGGCTGCCTCAGTCATGCAGGTGGCAGACCCAGAAGAGCAGCTGTGGGGACCACCCAGGCCCTCCCTGTACCCTGACCCTGGTGCCCCCTTACCTTCTTCTCCTCCCTCCTGGCTGGGCTGCCCCCTCCTTCAGACGCACTGGGGTCTGTGGAGAAGCACTACCTCAGGTTGGGGAGGCCACATCTGGGGGACCGCGTTGGGATGGGTTATGTCCCCCCCCCAGGACAGGCACCCGTGGAGGCAAGGGGCTCTGTGACCTCCTGCCACCCCTGGGGCACCAGAGTATATGGTAGGTGGGCGTCTGGGTGAGAAACAGAGCAGGATTTGGTCCTTACTTTGGGTTGAGGAAGGGTAGACAAAGTCCCTGCGACCTAGGAAGGGGCTTCCTGCATCCGCCATTCTGTGGGGGCTCAGGGCTCGGGAGGAACCCAGGTAAGGTGTCTGCGGGGCACTGGAGCTCCAGGCTGTGGTCGGGCTGCAGGGACACAGCGAGTGAGCCACCTGTCTGGAGCTTCACACTGCACTCGGCTGGCCCCCAGTCCTCCCTGGGCCCACTAATGCCCCCCATCCCAGCCAGCTCCTCCCAAGGCGTCTCCCAGGTCCTGGGGCTCCACAGGATGTCCTACTTCCCGTGCAGCCGTGGCGGGAAAGGGTGAGGCCTTGGCCAGAGAGAGGCCGGACAGCAGGACAGCGTGGGAAGTGCTGGGGCTGCCCCCAAAGCGCTGCGCCTCGCGGAGCCCGCCAGCCACCCAAATCCCGGTGCGGGGCGAGTTGCCCTCTGCGGGCGGGCGAGGGGACGGCCCCTGGGGGAGCAGCGCTCGCGTCCCTCCCAGCCCGCTCCGCGCCCTCCCACGGGCCGGCGGCCGCCCCGCCCGGCTGCCCCGCCGCCCCGCGCCACGTCCCCGCTCCGGGGACAGCCCCAGTCCCTGGCCCGCGTCGCCGCCACTCACCCGGCTGGGGGCCGCCGCTCCGGGGCCCGTCGGGACGCCTGCGAGCTCTGTGCGGGGAGACGCAGCGGTCAGGGCCGGCGGGGCCCAGCGGCAGCCCAGGCCGCCGCCTCCGGAAAAGTTCGCGGCCGGGAGGGAGGAGGGCGGGAGCGGCGGGCGGGACGCGGGGTCCTAGCGTCGGCCGCAGGCGGGCCGGGAGCGCCGCGGGGCGGTTGGAGGCGGGAGAGGGCGGCGGCCGGGAGGCAGCGCCTGGCGAGGACAGGGAGGGGGGTCCCGAGGCCGCGGGGCCGGGGCGGGGAGCCCCAGCCTCCCCGACGTCAGGCTGACGTGGAGCGGGCCCGGAAGGGTTCCTGAGGGTCACTTGGAAGAGTCAACGCCCTGGATTTCAGAGGAGGAGAGGACGGCCCAGCGCGGCTGGAGGCCTTACCTCCGCGCGCCCGCCCCACGACCCCGCCCGGCTGCGTCAGCCCCGACTCTGCCCGCCCCCCCCCCCCGACGACACTGAGCGCTGGTACCTTGGGGGACGACGGCAGTCGGGTCTCGATCGCCCGCAGGTCCTTATCCAGCTCTGCGCTCAGCTTGGCCAGCTCTCTTTCCAGCAGGACCTGGGGCGGGGGAGACTTGGGCGGTGAGGGGCAGCACGCAGTGGGGGACTGGCCAAAGGTCAGATGGGAGGTGCAGGACCCGACACCTGGGCTTGGGTAACCCGCTCCCTGCTGTGCGCCTGCAGGGAGTACCAGGAGGGCATCCCTGCCCAGCCTCTCACCGACCTTTGTCCCAGCGCAGCTAACCCACTTGTGCACCCTGGGAGCAACTTAGTGCTGCCTGATCGCACCTTCCTACCCGCTTTTGTCCTTGTCCTTCTCCATTCAGGAGCCTACAGGGATCCCTATTTCCTCTCCCCTCATCTTCTCTGGCCCTCTATGGCCTAGCTTCATGAAGAAGGTACCCATCCGGGCTGCTCCTGCCCATCCCTGGGGGCTGAGTGCCCCCCACCATGCTGCTTCTGCCCAGCCTGGCTTGTGGGTCTCCCCTCCCCAAGGGTCCCTTTCACTCTGCCTGGCCCAGCCTCCCATGGTTGCAGAGCCCTGCTCCACCTCCAAGAACACTTCCTGACAGTTCCAGTCACGCTGCCCACTCCCTCCTCTGCTCCTGCTTCCTCTGCGCCTGCTTTGGTCAACACATATTTATTAAACACGTTTATTGAGTGCTTACTATATGCTAGGTACTGTCCCTGGTGGGTGCTGGGAATACACAGGTGAGCCATATGGGATTGGAGAGGGCCTTTGCCTATGGCCAACTGGGGCCCACACAACCCAGACATCTCATTCACCCGACAGTGCTGCCCCCGCCCCGCAGCACTCACCTCGATGGGCTGGGAGGGCTTCTCAACAGGCTCATCCACCAGCGGTTTCTTGGGCTGAAGGGTGGGAAGGGTGTGTCAGAGGGGATGAATGATCTTCCCAAAATGCATCAGCAGACAGGTACATCCACTCCCAGAGGACCAGGCCAACACTCACCCTCTGCCCAGTCTCTAGCTCCTGCAGAAACTGGTTCCAGGAGTCTTCTCTCCAGACGTTGTCTGCCTTTTCTCGGCGCCTGGGCACCTGCAGGGAGGGGCAGGCATCAGCTTGCATGGAGAGGTGCTGGGACACTGGCCAGGCTCAAAGCGCAGGCATGCGGGCCCCTGCCCTCCCCTGTGCCCACCAGTGCCCTCCAAAGGACTCAAGCTGAGAGAGCATTATCTGTGCTATTTCAGGGCTGTAGCCACGGAGCACACATCTGGGGCAGAGGAGAGGGCGTCCTGGGAGTGCTACCTGATTTGGGGGCTGGAGCCCAGAAGATGCTCCAGGATTATAGTTGAAGGTGCTTCTAGGTAACTCTTCAGACTGTTCCCAGCTTCTTCTGAAGAGAGGGAAGGACATTTCCTCAGCTTCCTTTTAGAGAAACTGAGGCAAAAGTGAGAACACAGCCCTGGCAGAGGGGCCTCAGACTGGCCCAGCCCCCTACTGAGGAGGCAGTGTGAAACAGCGGGAAGTGCGAGCCCCGAGTTTAAACCCCAGCCCCAGCACTGAGAGCTATGTGAGCCCTGGGCAAGCTCCTGGACTCTCGGAGCCCTGGGCTAGAGACACGTAGGTTGGGAGTGATCAGGTGGGGGCAATGTGTGGGGTGCCCAGGAGAAGGCCTGACAGCTACGCCTGCTCCATGAGTGGCCAGGCCCTCTCCTGCTGACTCCTGCTAAAATGCCCTGCATTTGTGTTTGGTCCGGCCCTGTGACCATGTCTGCACTGCTTTGATGAAGCTGGTCTCTCTGGCTGCCATGGCGACGGGGTCTTACACCCAAACCCAAGGGGATGGGGCTACATCCTATTCCAAGGAACACTGGGAGCAGCTCTGGGCAAGTGTTCCTGGTCCCTGGGCCTCTGCTCTATGAAGGCACTGGATTTAGTGACCTTATCTGTGTGACCACCCCAGCCACCAAGGCACTGCATGGTCACATCTGCCTTACCCCCCTTGGCCCCCCCACCCCCGCCAGGGGTCCCTTCCTGGCTGGCTCAAATGTTACAGCCTCTGTTTAGTTTGAAAGTCTCCACCAAGTGGAACCACTGCGTTCAGCTTATCACGTGCCAGAATGCCTGATGTCAGGAATGGTTGGCTGTAATTATGACTCTGCTCTGATTTGAGTAATAACAAAAATGATCATGAGAACGGTATTTGTCCTTCCCAATCTATGAAAGCTCTAAGTGTAATTAAGCCTGCATTTTCCCAATGTTTGTGCAGACTTGGCATGCGCCAATCCTGATGCTTGACACGTTATCTACATTTAATCGTCAAAGTCACCACTTCAAAGACTGGGACACTGAGGCTCGGACTGGGTAAGTTGCCCAAGGTTGCAGCTAGTGACAGTGCACTGGCTCGAACCCAGAACTCTGGGTCCAAATCTTATTTTATTTATTTATTTATTAGAGACAGGGTCTTGATCTGTTGCCCAGGCTGGAGTGCAGTGGCACAATCATAGTCCACCGTAGCCTTGAACCCATGGCCTCAAACCATCCTCCCGCCACAGCCTCCTGAGTAGCTGGGACTACAGGCGTGTGCCACCATGCCCAGCTAATTTATTTTTTATTTTTTTGTAGAGACAGGGTCTTGCTATATTGCCCAGGCTGGTCTTGAACTCCTGGCCTCAAGTGATCCTCCCACCTCGGCCTAACAAAGTACTAGGATTATAGGCGTGAGCCCCCTCACCCAGCCTGGGCCCAAATCTTGAGCTCTTTGCCTCTGTCCTATTGGTGATGCCAAGAGCCAGGGGCCAGTTACGGCTATGCTAATGAGGTGAAGCCCTCCCTATAAAGGAATGAGAAACTCCTGGATTTAACTCTGAGAGCCAACCAAGCTCCTGATTCCCAAAGTGGTGTGGAGCCCTCCAGGGACCCAGCAGCCCAGCGGGGCCTGTGGGTTTGCACAGAGGAAAGGAATGTCACCCTTCCTCTCCCTGGAGGGGCTTGGGGCAGGAACTTGGGTTCTTCCACATCCCTGTTTTCTCTGAGACTTCCAATCGTGGCCATAGGTCCACGATTCCTCGATGGTGCGGTCCATGGACACCCTGGCCACCCCACTCCCTATGCCACGTGACCCATGGGTCTTTGGAGCGATGAGTTCCTGCTGCCCACCACAACGCATCACAGGCGCTCCTGTCCTGGAGCAGGTGCCAGGTCCACTCCTCCCACCTTCCTCCTTTGCCCCTGGCGGGAAAGAGCGTCTCTGGAGCGGTGGAGACCCCGAGAGGGGCAAAGCCCAGCGAGGGAGCCAGACCCCCTCCTGGCTGCTCTGAGGCCGTGCCTGCTGTGGCCACAAGGGAGTGTGTGTCCTGCAGGGACATGCAGGCTGTGCCCCCCCGCCCCTCGGGCCCCTGCCCCACTGTGCTCACCCGCTGAAAGATGCTGCCTGGTCGGGCCTGGAGACAGGTCTCTGCTGGGGCGCTGGATGCCTGGAGTCTGCAGAGAAGGCACACAGGGAAACCAATGAAGGGGGGAGAAGACGGGTTTAAGGTCTCACATTCCCCTGCACCCTAGTTCCTGGGTGGCCCGTGGGGATAGGGGTGGCACTTCAGGGCCACTAAATGTGGGCTCTGCCCCAAGAGCTTTACATTCTTGACAAAATCTTCAAGACAACTCTGGGGAGGCTGTGGTCCCATTTTACAGATTAGGAAAGAGAGGCCCAGAGAAATCACAGCCAGGGAGGGTTCCCTGGACTGTGAAGCTGAGGCTCTTAATTACCACCTGGCAGGGGACTTGGGACACTCTGGAAATGAGCTGTTAAAACCTCTCAAGCTGAACTCAGCCAACTTGGGAGCCCCCATGCCAGGCAGGCTGCATGTCCCAGCCTCGGGGAGGGGCAAACATAGGCACCCCAGGCTGGGGTGGCCCGGTGGCCTGCACCCCCTCACCTTTGGGTGTTTCCTCATAGGTCCAGTCCAGCTGCAGGTCTGTGGGGGCAGAAGGGACCAGGTCACGGCGGGGCAGACAGTGAGGAGAGGGCGCCTTGTGTGGCTGCCCTGGCCGCTCCCAGCCTCCTCCCACCTACAGCAGGGGGCCGAGGGCTGAGTCAGGGCCTGAAGAATGTCCCGAGGGAGGGAAAGAATTAGGAGGGCAGCTCTCAGGAGGGCTTGAAATGCCTCTGGCAGACTCAGGGCCTGCGGGAGCCAGCCAGCTGGGCAGTCGCCTTGCCCAGGCCCTCCCGCTCTTCCTCCTGTTCCCACACACCCGCTCCTGCCCTTTGTGGACTTGGACTTGACAGTCAGGCTGGGGAAATGTGACTTCTCCCTCTTTCCCTTTCTGCACCCTCTCCTAGACACCCTGCTGCCCCCTTCGCCCAGACCCACTCCTCACAGTGCTTGGGAATTTGCAGGGCCTGCTGGGAAGGGCTGCTGACCGGCCAACCCGCCTGATCCCCTTGGCATGCAAGCCTGTCGCAACAGCTCCTGCCTGAACGCCAACCGAAGCGCCCCTCTCTGGCTCCCACACCTTCCTCTCTTTCCCTCCCAGCTAGTCGACCACAACACCTGCCCCGTCTCCAATTCCTACTCTCGGCTCCCAGAGCAAGCTCCAGCCCACCGCTGCCCGCTCCGCCACTCTTCTCAAAGACCCCCGTGACCTCCGTGTTACCAAATCTAATGGGCACCTTACTTGACCCATCGGCAGCTTTGGTCCCAGCTGACCATGTCCTCCTTTTGAAGTTCCTTTTTTACTTGGCTTCAGGGGGACCTCTCAGTTTTCCTCCTACCTCCATGGCTACACCTTATCGGTCTGCTTTGCTGGTTCAGTGCTCCTCTCTCGAACTTCTATGCAACTAGGTACCTCAGGGCTCAGTCCTGGGCCTCTTTGTCTCTCCATCTTCCTAGGTGATCTTGTCTAGTCTATGGCTTTTTTTTTTTTTCTTTTTAAGAGATAGGGTCTCACTATGTTGCCTAGGCTAGACTTAAACTCCTGGGCTCAAGTGATCCTTCAGCCTCAGCCTCCTGAGTAGCTGGGACTACAGGTCTGCGCTTCCACACCTCGCTCGTCTTATGGCTTTTAAAACACCATCTATTCCTGTGATTCACAACCCTGGCTGCACATTGGAATTGTTTGAGGAACTTTAAATCTAAATCTTTTCTGAGCAAGTCCTAGGTGTTCTCATCTGCAGCCTAGATATCACCTCCTGAGCTACAGTCTAGGATATTCCACTGCCTACTGGACCTCTCCACTCAGATGTATCATGTCTCTGAAACAGAATGCCTCTTAAACCTGCTCCTCCTGTAGTCTTCCCTGTCTTTACAAATGGCAACTCCATACTTCAACCTGTTCAGGTTTAAAACCATCGTTGTCCAGGTGTGGTAGCTCACACCTATAATCCCCGCACTTTGGGAGGCTGAGGTGGGAAGATTGAGGCCAGGAATTCGAGACCACACTGAGCACTATAGTGAGACCCCATCTCTACAAAAAATATGAAAAAATTAGCCAGGTGTGGCATGCCTGTAATCCCAACCACTTGGGAGGTTGAGGTAGGAGGATCATGAGCCCAGAAGTTCAAGGTTGCAGTGAGCTATGATCACACCACTGTACTCTAGCCTGGGCTACAGAGCAAGACCCCACCTCTAAAAAAAAGAAAGAAACCAGTCTTGACTCCTTTGTTTCATGCCATGTCCTATTCATCAGCAAATTCCAATGACTGTATCTAGAATCTCTCCCTGTCCCACCAGGTCCACTGCCACCACCCTGGTCTAAGACACAATTGCCTCTAGCTTGGATTAAAGCCAACTTGTAATGGTGGTCTTTTTCTCCCTAACCCTTACAAAGCAAGAAAACGTTCCCTCTGCTTCCAACATCCCTTTTCCACCAGGTAGCCAGGGTCAGCCTTTCAGCTATCGCTTGTCAGAGCATGTCACCTTCTGCTCAGAACCTCCCAGTGGCTCCTCATCACTTGCCAAATTCCTTATAATGTCCCCAAAGGCCCCACGTGACCTGGCCCCACTACTTCTCCGGCTCCATCTCCTGCCACGTGCCCCCCCTCACTCCAGTCTAGTCTCTCCTTGCTGATCTAGAACATGCTTCTACCTCTGGGTCTTTGGAGCTCCCTCTGCTGGAATGCTCCCCCAGCTCTGCCGCATGCCTCTTTCACTCCCTTGACTGACTGGCTGCTCAAATGCCACTTAGCAGGGCCCTTGCCAGACACTCCTGGGAGATGTGGCAGCCCCCTGCGCTGGGCACTCCCCTGCTCTGGCTTCATTTTTCTCCCTGGCCCTTTCTACCATCTGCCAAGTTAAAGATGGATCTATTTATTATGGGATTCCCTTTTATCTTCAGCACCAAGAACAGTGCTTGGCACACAGTCTGCGCTCAACGGATAGTCAAGGACTGACTGAATGGCCACAGGACTGCCAGGGTTGGATGCATTTTGGGTTGTGGAAGAAAGCAATGCTTCATGCTGGAGAATGACCACTAATGGTGGAATTCCAGCCTGGCAGGAAAATCAGTGAGGGGTTTTAGGAGAGGACTGGCTTCCCAGGGACAGTGGCTGGTCACTGTCCTTCCAAGGCACTGCTGGAGCACTGCTGGCCCCAAGTGTGGGGAGAGGGGAGACTCCTGTCTTTGGCCTATTCGAGGGACCTCAGAGCCCAGGGGGACATGGAGAAGAGCCCCAGGGAAGGTAAGTCCCCTTTCCCATTCCTCCCTCTCCAAGCCCCAGAGGCCAGACTCCACTCTGGCAGGGAGAGGGCCCTGGATGAATGTCTTACCTGGCATTTTGCGGTGAATCTGCTGGAACATTCTCCGGTACCAATCCCTGGGGCTGTCAACACTCTGGGATCAGAAAATACAGTCAGGCCTCCCTGCTCACTTACCCTCCCAATATCAAGCCATGAAATCTGTTCAGTGAGTCCTCTCCCTGGCCACTCTTGCAGCCCCAGTGGGTGAGCTAGGGAATGGCCGTGTTCTCATTAGTAACAGTAACTTCAGGTAACCTGTTACCTATGAATATATATAATCATATATATATCATATATCATGCATAATATATATATCATATATCATGTATAATATATATATATATATCATACCTATGATATATATATGGAAGGATCACGCTCAAAGTGTATATAATGGTGATCCCTAAGTTGTGAGATTTGGGGTGACTTACATTTGTTCTCTTTGCTTTTCTACATTTCTAATGTTTCTGCAAAAGAGCATGAGTTTCTATGCAATGAAGACAATGAAAGTAATAAGGTAGGGGTGGGATGGTATTTCACATCACCTGCCTCACTAGAGTCTCAAAGCAGCTCTGGGAGGCAGGAAGGGTGCGTTACTAGCCCCAGTTTCCAGAGGAAGAACCACAGCTGGCTCAAGACACACGAGGACAGGTGGAAGGACAGGGTCCCACCAATCCGGGATGGACCCCAGATCCTTCCACACCTGCCGCAGCGTGAGGCCTTATCCGTCAAGACTCACTCACTCATCCAGCCATTCATTCATTCACTGACCATTCCTAAGGGCTGTGCCAGGCCCCAGGGATACAAAACTAAGAGAGGGTCCCCGCCAGACTCAGCCCTGACAGCAGTGTGTTGCTACCTTTCAGATCCTGATGGCAATTCCAGATCTGTGCCCCCCTCAACCACTTGTGCAACTCAGATGCACAAGAGTGCCCAAAACTTTATGGGGGTCGTGACCCCCTGAAGCCCATCATGGGTGCACCCCTGCTCAGTCTGGAATGGTTTGAGTACGGCCTTTATTGTCCCACCCCACCTTAATTCACAGAAGTGGAGCTCAGTGTAGGTCCCCGGGCCCCATCTGTCTGTGGCCCCCAGCCCTGGACTCACGGATCGGGGGGCAATGGGCATGCCGCTCTCATCCACGGGCCCGATTCCCTCGTACTTGACCCAGCGCTTGTCCTGACGCTTGCTGTCCTTGGTCCACGTAGCTGACCAGTTCTGGGCGGGCTGCGGGGCAGGAGTCTTTGTGCTTGCAGAAGGCCTGCTCCCAGGGCCTGGCCAGGTCTGGTACCAAGCAGGGTCTGTGGGGCAAGTGCAGGACAGCGTCAGCCAAAGGCAGGGACCCCGTCCAAATGTATTTGTCCCTTTGCTCCTCAGAACACAGATCCCTCTGGGTTCAAGACTTTCCACATCTTGTTTGTTTGAAAGGGTAACTCAGACTCTGCAAACCTCCCTGTCCCTAGCAGCACCCTTGTCTGTTTTTTTCTTAAAATGAATTGTTCAAAATGGATCTTTTTCGAGAAATCTGCATCCGCCCCCACTCTGTCCTCCTTTCCTGGGACTGTCCTAAGAGTTCTCAGGTGAGGGCTGAGAGCCATTCCTTGTAGTAATAGTGGGGACATTCCAGCTGGGGTGTGGCTTGGAGGGGACAAACCTGAACTCAGACCCCGGCTCTGCTACCTACTGGCTGATGACCTTAGCCACATCAATCACCCTCTCAGTGCCTCAGTTTCCACTTCTGTAAAACAAGGGTCGTCGTGGTGACAAAGATTCAGTGACATTTAGCATGTGTGACATGACCCAGCACAGTGCCTGACACATGGTCGAGAGGACAGAAGGACAGAAACATACTCCCCAGACATGGTTACAGTGTCCTCAACTTCCCCGGAACCTACAGCCCCAGGCGGCCAGGGTAGCAGCGTCAGGGCTTCGGGGCCAGATGGACAAGCTGCAACTTGAAGCTCAGCCTCTGCAACTGAAAGTCTCTGAGGCTCGGGCTGCTCACCAGGAAGATGTCACTCACCACCAGACCCTACTTTGCTAGGATATCAGGGGCTAAATGAGGTAAGCCTTGCAAGGTGTCCTCAGTGTCCAGCATACTCCAAGTGTTCAATGACTGTTAAATGAATAAACTTTACCCAGTGCCTGCTGCAGGAGAGGGGTGCTCAGGGCTGCCTGCACCCAGGAGTCCCGAGGATCGCCCAGGCTGGCGGACCCTCAGAGCTGCCTCTTCGGCCTTCTGCTGTCCCCATCCCTTCTCTAGCCAACATACCCTCACGTTCCCTTGGCCCTTCCATCCATCCCCAGTTCAAGCGATCCCTGGCCTGCTAGAGGTCCCCTGGCCACCAGAGGCTCTGGCTCTGCTCACTTCCTTTCCCTGGCACCAGGCGGGTAGGGATGGGAAGGGATGCAGCAGCCTACTCTCTCCCCCAGTGGGTGTCTCTTACGGGTTCAGCATGCTCACACAGGGAGGGCCCTTAGCTGAGCTCAGAGTCCCCTGAGGGCCCTCCTCACGGCCGGCCTTGAGACCCCCATCCCCTCTGCTGCGCCTCCCGCTTGACACAGGGCGGGGCCAGATGGCAGGGCCCAGGGGGCTCTGACCCCTACCCCACAGGAGGCTCCTGGAGCAGGTGCTCCCGAGCAGACCCACCTGGGTGCCGGGAGGCATCTCTCCTCGGTGTGAAGTAGCCATTGCACACAGTCCTGGGCGCGGGGTCATGGAACTGGAAATTAAGGGTGTTGGAGCCACCATTCCGGATCACAGGCACCTGTGGGGAGGGGCCAGGAGCGGCAGCTCAGGGCCCAGAAAGGCAGGAGGGATGGCTACCAGGACACAGCCCACAGCCCATGGTGAGGGTCCCAGGGCCAGCCTCACGTTCTTTCGGGAAGCCAGCGAGGCCCTCTGGAGCTCTCTCCAGGCTGTCCTCTCCATCCCTTTAATCCTGGTCCCCTCACCTACTAGCCTCCTCACCTACTGTGGGCCCACAGTGTACCCTCTTCCTCGCTGTCTCACTCACCCGTGTTCCCCGGGACGATGACCCTAGATGGGTCCGGAGGTGCCCAGGGATGAAGTCGTCCAGGCTGAGCCCAGCAGGGAGGCTGCAGGGTGGGCCCTGCATGCTTGGGTCAAAGTCGGAGGACTCTGGGTGTGCCAGCTGCTCCTCTGCGTGCTCTCTGCGGGGAAGGAGGAAGGAAGGGAAAGCCCTCCTGGGCCTGGGCTGCCTGTGCCCTCTTGGCTGGGCCCTGGGGTGGGGGAGGAAGGGCTGGCTGTGGGAGGGGGTTAGGGCCAGCTGGGTGGGAGCTCAAGGACCCAGGAAGCAGGCCTCTCCAGGCACCGGGCTGCAGGCTGCCCGTGCGGCTCCCAGAGGCACAATGGGCTGCTTGTTAGGCCCAGGGCAGGAGCTCTGGGTGGGAATGGGGGAGGGGGAGGCTCAGGCTAGGAGGAGGGGAGGGGAGGCTGGCCAGGAGCCTGCGGGGCTCTCCCTGTGCAGTGCAGTCTGCTCCCGGCTCCCCCAGAGGGAGGGCACAGAGGGACTGGGCCAGAGGGTGGGGGGGCCTGGGCACACGGGACTTTGTTTCAGTTCCTTTGCCTCCCCCAGGCCCCACGTGAGCATCTGCTTGCCCATGGGGTTGCTCTGACTGGGGAAGAGGCCCTGGCCAACAGCAAGGCCACCACCCACTGCCCACGGGGCAGCAGTCAGTAGTGCCCTCCCCCCTAATGGGCCAAGGAGAGCGTGGGGGGGGGGCATTTCCAGGCACCAGGAACTGCTCCTTCTGGGCTCAAAGGGAGGATCAGCTCCCTGTTCTTCAGCCTCCTGAAGACTTGGGGGCTCAGCTGAGGGGGGGTAGAAGGAGAAGCAGTGGGTGAGGGCAAAGTGGGACCTGCTCCTGCTCACGGAGGGACAGTGATGGGTGCTCTTGGGTGTTCTCTTGCATGTGGGCACGTGTGCACACACACACATACGCTGGCATGCACATGAGTGCACACACACACAGCACTTCTTGCGGTATCTGCTGTCCTCCCTGAGAGCCCCACAGAAGCCACAGGCACATAAAAGTCTGATCTGCCCCAGCCCCAGAGGGTGGTGAGGTTGGCTCCACTCCTGGCCCAAGCCCACAGCCAAGGTGAGGAGGGACAGACTGCGTGTGGGGAATGTAAGTGCAGTGCTGTGAACATGACTTTTGGGGGGGACCACTGGGGGACCATATGAGTTGCACGGGGGTTGTGGGTACAGAGGGGTGTCAGCTGAACAGTAGTGGGGGGTGGACATGGGCAGTCATATGAGCAGCACAAGGGTTGTGGGGACCAGAGGGATGAAGGTATAACGGGGAGGGGGTATGTGATGACTCATCCTGTGAACCCAGTTCCTGCTCAGGCCTGGGGGTGAGGGTGTGAGTTCGTGGGGACCCCTTCTGACATCTGAACTGCCTGTTGGGGACACAGCTTTTCTGTGCCCATCCCTGACTGCGGGGGAGAGGAGGGCTGAGGCTGGAGGCGGGGCAGCACACCAGCTGGATCCAATTAGGACTCTTACCAGCAGGAACTGTACAGAGGCACCCCAGGCCCAGCTGCTCCGCCTCCCCTTGTGGGGGAAATCGAGGCAGGGCACAGTGGAAGATCAGGAGGTCAGGCAGGCCAGTTCCTGGCAGTGACCTTCCCTGCCCAGCTGACTGCTGGAGGCCAAGTTGCCGGCTCAGCATCTGCAGTCCCTCCCAACCAGCAGCTGACAAGGGCCTTCCTTCCCCAGCCTCCTGGCCCTGCCCTCCTGCTCAGGGAGACCTGCCCTCTTGTAGAGGACCTGCCCCTGTCACCTGTTTTCAGAGGTTGATGATCCCGGGTGCCCCAGCCTGCCCTCCGCAGATCTGCTCCCTGTCAGGCACCCCCAGGAAGATCCAGGGAAGGGTGTCTGAGTTTCTCTCTCGGCAGCCCTGCCAGGAGGCTTGAGAAGACTTTTCGCAGGGAAAATGGAGGCATCCCGAGGAGTTGGTCCTTACTAGCAGAGAACAGGGAGTGCCTGGACATCTCTGTGTCCTCCCAGAACTCAGGCAGCCCCTGTATTCAGGAAGGCAGCCGGCTCACATGGTGGGAAGAGGGGAAGTAGCTCTGCTGAGGCAGGCGGACTCCTTCCCACTTGGGAACACTGTCCTGACTCGGGGCTTGGCCCTATGCGCTTTCCCAGGTACTTTCCTGCGACAAGTCCACGTGGACGCGGACAGGCTTTCTCGAATTTCGCCTCTTCTGGATTGAGGGCAGGGGGAACATCTCACCTCTTCCCACCTCTGAGTTTGGGACGAGGACCCCGGGGGAGGGGCCCTGTGCCTTCCCCTGGGGTTGGGCACGGGTCGCTGTCTCCTCCCCACGGCCCTCCTTCCCCGCACCTACCTTCCCAGGCGGCGAGCAGGTGGCGGGAGCGCAGGAGCATCCCTGCCTGGCTTCTGCCTGGCGCGGCCGCGGCGGCACTCGGGGAGGGAGGGAGGGCAGGGAGAAGCGCGGGCCGTCGGGCCCTCGTGACCGGTCGGGACGGGCTGGGTCGGGCAGGGCGCCCGAGGAGGCGCGCGGGAGGCAGGACCGTGACAGTCGCACGGCGCGGCGGGCAGTGTTTGGGTCTCAGATCCGGACTGGGGGCCGGGGAGGAGGGGAGTGAGTGTCCTCCGTCAGGACGCGCGGCGGCGGGGACACTGTGGCCCCCGGCCGAGGGGGCCGGGCCGGCCGGGAGGCGGCGCCGGGAGGGGCCGCTGAGGGTCCCCGGGGAGCCCGCTCTGGTTTCCCAGCTGCAGGGCTGGCGTCGGGGCGGGCCGACACGGGCCACTCAGAGTTTCCAGCAGCATTTCCAGCGTGTGGGAAGCGGAGCGCAGGAGTGATTAACGAGCCGAGCCGCGGCCGATACGCGGCCGGCAGCTTCGGAGGGGCGAGAGACAGGCGGGGAAGGCGGGCGGGCGGGGACCGAGATAAGGGCGGCCACCAGGCAGAGCGGCCTGGCGGGCGCAGGGAAGGCCCAGCCGCCTCCCAGCACTTGGGCTCAGTTTGCGTTTGCGTCAGCGCGGCCGGGCGCGTGCAAACACACGCGCGCAGGCACACATGTGCAGGCACTGCAGGAAACCTGCCCAGGGGAGCGGCCCCTGGGAGTGCCGCGCCCATAAAGAGGATGAGGGTGGGGTCCCTTTGGCGGGGACGAGGTGAGGAGGGTCTTGGTGTTCCCATACACCGTGTTCATTTGGATCTTCCTGCATTTCCGCTGTTCCCTCTGCTTTGATCTGAGTCCCAAGAGCCCCCACCCACTGGCTCCCCACTCACTCTGTCCATCCCTTCTTCCCTTCTCTCCCCCAAGCCTGTCGCATAGGACCGGTGGCAGAAAGTGAGGGTGCTTAACGAACAGTGTCAATGGCAGCAGACTCTGGGGTACTTTTAGCCATTTGCTTGGTTCTGAGATCCCCAAGCCCCGAAACGCCCAACCAGCAAATAGTTATTGATGGACGTTAGATATGTGTTGGGAGTGATCAGTTATAACTTATGGGTACATGACAGTGCTTACTGTATACCTGCCGGGTGTCAGATTGGTGACTGAGGCCACCATGTGCTTCACAGTGTTTTCCAGTTTCCGGCAATTGAAAGGAAAGGGAGGGGAGAAGGGATGAAGCGGTTTTCAGCCCCTGCCACCCTTACTGCTATCAGCTTTATCTTTTTCCCAAGTAAAAGAGCTCTCCCCAGTTGTGTTAAGCAATGTCAACGCGGGAGCTGGAGGAGCAGCCCTTGCGACTGGGGAGACACGTCAGAGATAGCAGCCTGGCTGGCTTCCAGGGTCTGTGGGCTGCCAGCAGTGGGGCCGCTGGGTGCACGTCAGAGGGAAGCAGGTCCAAGGTTTCCAAGGAAGAATCTTTAAATGACTACAGGGTTCAAAGTCTGCCAGTTGGGCAAGTATGTAAAGGCAACTCTTGTACTGAGCAGGGAGCTACATGAGACAACCTTCAAGGTCCCTTCCAAGAACCTCTGCCTCTCCAGGAAAGCTGCAGTGTGGGCATGGGGTGGTAGCCACGGAAGACAGCTGCAGGAGTGGAGCAGCCCTGGGACACTTGTGGGGGCAGGCAGCAGGGCACTGCCCCTCCCCCAAAGTTGGATGCTTACCACCCCTAGGGACCATCCTCTTCCCTCCCCCAAGGATAAAGTATGTGCCCATTTCCCTAGTCACAAGTTTTTCCCACCTGTCAGGGTCCTTGGGACTAAGAAGGGCCACATCACTTTCATTTTCTTCCTTGTTCTCCAAAGATGGTGAAGCTGAAGATCTTCCAACTCCAGGAATCCTGGCCATACCCTCTCATCAGCAGCGACTTCTCTTATTCTCCAGGGCTCTGACCTGGACTCCAAGATAAATATTTAATGTACAGGGTGCAGCTGAGCTGACAAAGGTCCCAACTTCCTGTTCCTCACAAAGGGAGGTGGCAGCTATGGGCAAGGAGCTGAGGACTGGCCACTAGTTTCATCTCTATGGGAATACAGTTCAGTAAACAGCTCTGGAGGAGGAAGGGGAGGTCCCACGGGACACCTGGGCCTCCCTCCCGGGCTGCTTTGATGTCTGCCTATCGATTTAGGTCTGGACCCTGCAGGGCTTATCACCTTCTCTCTCGGGTCAGAACCCAGCATGTTCTGTGGTGCCCATCTGGCCTCACACAAGAGAGGATGGAAGGTTGATGGGACCACAGGGCAGGAAATGTGACCAATTCCTCCTTTTCTGCCCATATCTAGGGAGGAATCCACCTCTAATCCACCTCTTTGAAGGTGGATTAAGGGGGGGGGGACTAGCAGGCTTCAGAGATTCAGCCAAGAACCAGGTGTCTGGTTTCCCTCTTCCTCCCTGGAGTTTCAGCTCTCGGGCTGCTGGCCTGCCTCCACAGCTGGCATGGCTTTAGGGAGAGGCTGGGCTAGGGAAGTTTGTCCCAGATAGCATGCCTGTTGTCAACAACAGAACAGATTCCTCCCAGGATCCCAGGGCGCTATCTCTTCTGCACAGCTCTCCTGTCTAAGAGGGACCTTCCTGACTGGGAGTCGGCTGCTTCCCCACCTCCGGCACTGCCTTTTGTCAGGGGCTGCCTCTGCCCTCTCAGAGCCACCTGAGCCATGGCAAACACAGTTTCATAACTGCTCTGTTTTCCTGGCCATCTGATCCGGGCACCAGGATCCAGCCCCCCCACCCCACCCCGCCCCTTGAGGCTGCCACCTTTTGTTCTGTGGCTAGTCCCCAACAGCACTCCTGTCAACAGAGGTCTGTCCACACCCACCACCCTAGAGGGTGATTAGCCAAGTGACTGCCAATAAATGTTGCCTCCTGAGGGGGAGGAAGCAGTGGAATGCAGGTCACTCTGAAAACCAACCTCTGTCACCAAGAGGAAGGATGGAAGGAACACTTAAGGAGCTTTTTACCGTAGTAACAGGGAGAACTAGGCAAGCAGGGTCTGAGCAAAGAACTCAGTTTTATTTCTTAAGTGGGAAGAGGGAAGCCAGAGATCCCAGAAGCTGTAAACCTGGACTCTCAGACTCATTTCTCCAGGAGTGTCCTTCTCTAGTGCAGGGAGTCTGCCATCTGAACCAGTCACACTCTGAGATCTACCCTGAGCAGTCGAGTGGCCCCCTAGTGCTGTGCCCAAGTCCCCACGTGCAAGATAAAGGGCATCTGCTGTTCCTTTCCTTCTCCCCAGTGATGAACTCTGGTGTGTTCTTCAGGCAGGTTTTGAGATTTTTTTTTTTTTTTTTTTAATCTTTGCTCTCAGAAGAGTGTTTTCTTCCTGCCAGGGGAACTGAGCAAGCACACCACAAGCAAAAAGCAGCACTGTCCCTTTCCAGCAGTGTGGAATTCTCTAGAGGGGAAGACCACAGTGACACAATAGTGAGGAAATGAAACCAAGTCACATTGGACACAGCAGCACGAAGCTGGACTGTGTTTCATCCCCTGGGCTCCATCTCTTTCTCCCGGGCCCTCTCTGGACTCCAGCTCCTGCCACTGTAGCCGGCCAAGTTCTACTGACAGCACTGGTCTGTCTGCGCCAACCACTCATGGGAACAGGGCAAGTGGCAGAGGAAAGGGCAGTGACCCACTTTGGGGCTTCAAAGGCCCTCCTGCACTGACAATGACTTGCCCTGGCCCATCTGGAATCCAAGATTTCTGGTATAGTCACTGTAAATCCAAGAATCTCTGTGAGTGAAAAAAATACCCTGTACAGGTCAAGTATGGCCAGTGACGGGGCCTGGCAGCTGGGACGGGCACACGGAACCCCAAGGGGTCACAGAATGAGGCTTTCAGGCCTGCCTCACACAGACCTTTTCATAGCACACACATGATGTAACTGGCTTCTATTCCGGGTTCTCGGAGCCAGTCACATGCTAGCCCTGAAGGCTGCGGGAGAACTCAGCCTCTTGCCCAGTTTATCCAGCCTGTCCTCAAGGAAGCCTTCACACTGTCATCACATCAACGACTGCTCTCTTCCTCTTTTTATGGCTGAGCAAACAAGCACAACGCGCAGACGGCGTGTCTTTGGGAAGAACTGAGCTGGATGAACCTCCTTTTAGTTCTCAGGAATGATGAAAAGAGCAAGTGACTGTCAGCTCTTTAGAAAGCAGATTTTATAAGGGAAGGATAAATAAGCGATGATCTCAGAGGGGAAGACCAAGCCAAGTCAACTCGGCCACAAAGAAGGGCACAGAACCAGGAGTTGGAAAATTAGGTCTGCACCAACCTTCTTTCCCACCTCAGGTAAACTGAGATAAGTAAGATAAGAGGGCTGATTTGTTGCCCCAGTGGATACCGTGAGGTAGTGCTCTGGCCTCCAAACAAAGAATAACCTTGTCTTCCCACCTCTGCAAATTCGGTGATGAACCTTCTCCTCACTGGCATCAACATTAAAAAGACTACTTAATTTACTACTAAATTATTAACCCACTGTATCAAAGTTAAATAGATTTTCTTTCTAAAGCCTCAAAATGATTTAAGAAAAAAAAAAGCAAGACTTCGGAATAGCAAGTAGCAGGCACAAAGTGGGGACTAGGTCTAGATATAGTGAGAGGTTAACATGAATTTGCAGTTAAGTCCTTAATTTCTAGGCTTTTAAAAAGCTTTTCACAACTCTGTAAACAAGGGCAAATATTCCATTTTACTGAAAATTTAGCTAAGGTATAAGGAAGGACATTGCTAAGTCAAGATGTCATCAGGGTAACAAAGAACCCAAAACACATACTCAGCTTATTTGAAATTAGGAACCTGGGCTAGTTTTCTGGCCTGTAAACTGCACTGTGGCCCTTACCGTGGCTGTATGTAACGTCAGCATCGCTGTACGTAGGCCCGGGAGCCCTGGACTTAGCCTTTCTCTCTCTACTGCCATAACCTGTAGAATTCTCTCACGGACACAGTTTCCTCCTCAGGGCCCCAGAACTTTTCCTATCCCAAACCTCCCACTTGCCTGGAGGAGCTTATTTTTCCTTGTGAATCTACAGCACCTTGAGATCTTTCCTCTTTTCAGAGGAATCAAAAGGCTGGCCTGGCACTTCATGTTCATGGCAAACTCCACACTCATTTCCTCTCTGGCTTCTTTGACTTCATCCCAGTTGGGATTCATTCTGTCTCTTATTAGGATAAAATGCAGGGTAACTAAACTACTGTAATAAAAAATGATTTTCAACCTTTATGAAGAAGGTATGTTTTCTGGGATGTCTTCCCACCTTTTGTCCAAGTAGCAGCCTCTGCTGGAGAAGCCATAGAAGAAGCTGGGACTTGAACATGAGTTAGTGGTGGGCAAAGGGTCTGGAAGGAGGACAGGGGCAAGGGAGCAGATTCTGAGCAGGGAGGAAAAGAATCACTTCTGCAGCCACCAAAGCTGCTTTAAAAGGAAAGGGCTGGAGAGATAAAGAAAGAGGTCCTTTTTATTGTGATGGAATTCCCTCCCTTGGGAGGTGAATTCCTTGGCTTTGTCAGAGACCAGAGCCCACATCAATAGCCAGGGTTTCCCTTGACTTCTGAAATTATTAAATAGGTAAGAGCCAAATATAAGTGCCTCTACCCAGAAATAAAGGAAATAAAGACACAGGGAGCCAATAAAGTTATCATTTAATTTTAAGGATTTCTTCTTTTTTTATCTTAAAGATGACTTTACAGTAAGAAAGTTCTAACAAATCAATTTTTTTCACAAAAAAGACTTATTAAATGATTTCTGTCAATAAGTAACACTTCCACCATTTTCTTTAACATAACCAAAAGCAAGAAAAAGCAGGTCATCTCTAAGCACAAGCAAATAATCCAGCATTCAGAAGAACCTTGAAAACAATTCCACCACCAGCTAGTCTCAGATGTCTGACCACTTCATCATTTAGGAATCAAAACCAGTATCCTTTCTTGGAAAATGTCTGTTGACATTTCTATTAGGAAAAACAGCTGCTGGTCACAATGCACGGAGAAAGGAAAAGTGAGGTGTTCCCAATGGCATCTTTGAAAAGGTTCTGTGACAAAAACACATCTTTATTGCCCCAAATGAAAATCTACGGTAGGCCGCCTCCTTATTACATGCATCTTACTTTAACATGCAAAAAAAGTCTCTGGAGACAACTATGCCAAGGGAGTGAAGGGAATCTGGGAAGAACTTACAGGCAGGCAGTGTGCATGGCCCTACTTTAGAGCTGCGCAGAGGTGTGGTCCACGTCCATGTCCTTGCTTCTTGATCTTAAGCCACCTAGACTTGTCATGAGGGCATAGAAGAGGAGATGATGCATAACCCTGTCTCAAACAAAGGTGTTATTTAGCGAGCCTCGCCAAAGTTGCTGAGGCATGAGGCCAAGGCCTCCTGGGAGGGGATATACTCTTCAGTATCATCTTTACCTTTGTGACTGCACAGATGAAGGCAGCCAACACTGACCCCATTCACTCTGGCTGGCTAGATATAGGCAGGTCAGGTCCCAAGTCCCAGTGTAATATAGGCTCCCTCTTTCACACTCTGTCAATGGCACAAAGCCCTATTGTTAATACAGTCCTCTGCTCATACTCAAGATAAGGGTAACAACCTGTCCTTCGACTACACAACTTTCTTTCTCTACACACATCTGCTTTTTCTTACAGCTTTCCTATGAGCATCTGATCACTGCAATACCAAAAAGAGACTGTGGCAAGATGATGCTTCAGACCCATCCTCCAGGTAACCCGAACCCTCCTCAATCTATTGCTGGGCTGCCTTTAAGCTCTTTCTAGCAGATTTCAGAAAAGATGTGGACCAGGTGCCAGACAAGGTGGAACCCATGGTTATAACCACAAACAATTTAGGAAACTGGAACCTCACACGCACAAAAACTGGGGTTCTGGGTTCACCCTCCCTCTGGTATCTTTTCTGCCTGGGTAGGGAAAGCTGAGTGATGCTTTAAAAGAAACTTGGGTTCCACCGTTACTATAACAACTAGAATAAATATTGGGAATTCTAGAATGGTATCTAAACAAGTCTTTATGGGTTACGAAATTATTTTCAATACAAACATTGGACAGAAAAGCCTGATAATTAATACTCCCCCAAAATCTATGTATGAATCTGGGGCAAGTGCTTTCCTAAACCAGTTTAACTGATTGGTCACCCAGACTGGTCAGGATAAAAATTCTCAAGAGCTTGAATTTTATATTTATAGATATAGAGATGGTACAGTCAAAAATTCTAGAGATAAGCTATGATATTTACATAAAATAAGGGAGGGTAAAGGGAATAGATTTTAGCTATACTCATTCTGAGGCTGGAGAGACTCGAGTAATGACAGTGAACAGCAAGCCCAGCTGTGTTCTCAATGGGCATGGCTTATAATATTTCTCTCATACAGACCAGCTGCCTCAAACTATGTGTTTTTAAATCACTCAGAGGAGGAGCTAAGGGACAATGCAAAAAGGCTCAAAAGGCCCTCAAGTGAGCCATTTTTTAAAATCTTACCTTTGCTTCTTAATGACATTCAATAATAATATTCTGTTGACAAAACAAATAAGGATTTTTCTCTTCCTATTTTGAACAATGTCAGTCAGAAAATCATCCCTAAGTTGTGGGAATAGCAAAGAAAGCTAACCTTAAGAAAGAAAATCTTTGCTATTGAGAGAAACTTGCTTCACTGAATCGTTCATAGAAGAACAAAAAAGGCAGTGTAAATATAGATAAAAAGACATGAAAAATACTGCTATTTCTGGATAGTCTGCCTTTTCTATTCCTAGGCATGGAGTCATATCAAGCCCACCAGAGTGTAATATGCAATTTCCATGTTGCCAGTTTGTACCCATAGCCAAAGTGTCACCTTGAGGTGTTAAGGAACACCTCGGATATTTCTGTTTTAACATTCTATTAAACAGTCACTCTGTTTCATACACAAACCCCTTGGCTTATTGTTTTGCTTTTGTTCTAAATATTCAGAACACAGATTTAAAAGGGACGTTATATCTTGAACTTAGATGAATTTTTAAATTTTCATTTTAAAAAACAGTCATCTGGTCAATTTAAAATTTCATGTGATGTTTACGTAACCACAATTGGGCAACCTGGTCTGTGCGAAGTGTCGTTTTCAAAATGGTATTTAGGAAAATTTTACCAAGGAGTCCTCTGACATCCTGGGGAACTGATATAACAAGTGTTTTGTTTTGTTTTTTGTTTGTTTGTTTTTCTAAATGGGGAAAATTGAAGGAAGAGAAAAAGAGAGAAAAAGAACAAGAGAAAAAGTATTTTTAGTATCTTTAGAACACGCAGGGGGAAAGATTTAATAAAACAGAAGAGGCTTTGAAGACACCAGCACTGCAGAGCTGTGACAGCAGTTACAATGTTTGTCTAATAACGGCCCTAGGCAGGAATAGTAGTTCTAGGGCAAACCCAGGGCAGGCGTCCAGCCATCTTGGAAGCTGTTGTTTAGATAAAAGCATTCAAAACTGTGTTAAAACCCTCCAATGAAGTCTAAAGTGAAGAAAAAGTACTGTTATTGCGACATATTCCTAAGGTTCATGCCTCTTAAATGGGTTTGAGTCATAGGTGCAAAGGCATACGTAGGAATACCGACTGAGAGCCTCACTTTAAGAAGTCACCTGTATCATGTAGATACACGACACAACTTTCTAAAATGTTGAAATACATACTCCAGCTTTCTATAAAGCAGAAGAAATATCTTTACCTTTATATATCCACAGAATTTTCAAACCTAGCCTCCTCCAAGAGCTGGTGTTGGTCTAAATTAAACTCACTCAGATTTCCTTGAATCAGGACTTCTCACCTGTCTACTCGGGCTGATCCACAGCTCAGAGGGTACCTGTCAAGCACTTTGCACTCCTTTGCGCTGCTTGTACCAAGGAAACTTGCTTTATCATACTACTGCTTTTTGAGAAGATTGAACAGAGACATTCCTAAATAATCCATTCTTTTTAACTGGTAAAATATTATATTTTGCTTGTAAGGATTTACAATAACTATTCTACTGTTGCCTGCAGATGGAGGCCCTATAGAATGTTTTCCACTTGTGGACTGTGTATGTATAACAATAACCTTAATAAAAAGGAGAAAGGGACAAGGGACTCCTAACTCTACAATCTGTCATGTGAAATTTCCAAAGGCAGGATCTTTTCTAATACTAGGATTTGGGGATGGAGGACTATGAGGATACCCAAATGATTAAACTCTCTCTCTTTGAATATAAAGAAATGATGGGCAGGAAGACAGCTACTTAAGACTTTTTCTCCCTTCTTTCAGAGGTTTTACTCACACACAATAAAGAGATCCTTTATCTCCTTCCACAATATCCTTTTTATCTTTTTTATTAACAGAGCAATCCATGCAGGGAGACTGCAACTCCCCCAAAATACTTTCATCTCTGTCCTAAACAAATTGGGAACTATTAGCAAAAGGTATACGAAAATAGAGTTTGATGGGCTAAGTCTTCATTCTTCTAATGAAAATTATGTTTTTTGAAAAAAAAAATGAGTTTTTTATTTTTCTGGTTTCCTTGAAGCTCCCAACATGAAGTACTACCATCTGAAATACTTGCCTTAATGGGGAACTCCCACATCACAAATGACATTAAGGAATGCCATAAAAGAGCATCTTCCATGCTTTATGTAGAGTGCCTAGGCACGTATGTTCACTGTAGAGCTGACCAGTAAGTATTATGACATGGCACCTGTGATCAGGCTAAACCAAAAATGGGAGCCTAAATATCCCAAAATTTCCTTTGCTAATTGGTTGTGACTTGAAAATCAAACTAAAGGAAGATTATTTAAATGCTGTATCTGCACACTTGCTGTTTGTATTCCAAAATATGCTACTAGGGGTTGACATACAGTTCAACTCAATGAGTGTTGAAAGACAGAGAAATGTCCTTGTAATTGATACAGAAGACAGGAAATCCTCACTCATCCAATGCCCTTTAGCAAGACTTTCAATTCACAAGGGGATCACACCACCCTTGTCGGTTTCCATTATTCCAGTTGGTTGCAGAAATACTGACAGGGAAAAACAGAAGGATGACAGGGAAGAGATGCCAGAGCCTAGAAGAGCATAAACACTCTTGCTGTTGCAGTTCTGCTGAGGGCATTTATAAAATATTTAGAAATGTAACTTCCTTTGCAGATGGGGTGAGACACCTGGGGTTCAAAATGAAAGCAAAAGAATCTGGCAACAGTTAAAGCTTTCTGAAAATCTTTCTCCTTCCAAAGTTCTAAGGGAAATTTAAACCAATCATGCCCATGGTTAGATGAACAAATTGTAAGTAACTCTAAGAAAATCCCTCATTATTTTTTATTTTGCTTTACTAGAACATATTTAAAGGAATTGAGAGTCCAGAGAAAGTAGGTTATTATGGAAAATATTCCACTTGGCCCTTAAAATCACTGGGTTTGGGTTATTCACTTAGAAGTTCTACTGTAATCAAGTTTTCCATCAGGAGAGAAACAGTTGTAGCCACTGAAATATAAGAGGACTTTCTTCAATGGCACCCAGCAGAAAGGAAAAAACAAAAAGGAAAAAAATCTTGCACTTGAAAAGTTGTGAGTCTTACATGAAAGATATTACCTTCCAAAACCAAGAGTGAAGGCTGACTAGTTCAAGTCAGAAACCCAGGGTTGAGGTTTCCAAGGCCCTTTTCTTAGGGGGAGGTCCCCTTTATAGCACAAGACTTCACATATGTATTGACAACAATCAGATTAGTTCTTAAAAATTAGGGAGAAAAAAGGGAAAAAGAAAACAGATGTACTTTTTATATATATTGAACATAAATTAAAAGAATTTATAAAATGGTCACCTTTCTTACAGAATAAATGCAGACTGAATTATAAATGCACCTCCAGGTTTAAGTTGTTTGAGTTGTTTTTGTTTCATTTTCCAAAAATAAATAAATAAAATTTGTTCTTAAGTTTTGGATCCACCTGTGCCACAGTGGGACTCTGAATCATTACTGGGCTTTCTTCCCATGGTCGCTCCTGTGCAGAGACTTTGGGTGTCCCGGGGTTACAGGTTTCATTGGCCCATCAGAGCGTACAGCATCTTTTCGGGGTGGCATTCGCTCATTAATTCGGTCCAGACCTCGGGCTTCTTCAAAACTCCGGATCTTGTGCTGAAGTGAAAATCCTCTGATGGCTAGAGAAAAACAGGAAAGGGGTGGTGGTGAAGAGTGCTCGATTAGGCAGCAAAACAAAAGCTTAAAAAAGTTTCTTAGCACACAGCAACCTCCTAAAGAAAAACAGAGAAAGGTAGCTATGGAGCACATGTCTGGTGAAGGTAATAGGCCATTTTTTATTGAATCAGACTTGTCTGAAGCTACTGCTTCCTTAAGGCCCAACGGGCAGCAGAAACTGAAAGTAATTTTCATAAAAGCTCAATATGAGTAATCATGGCAGAGGTATACTTGACCAAAAACTAACAAGTTCTTACTTAGCCCCAAAACATTTGAGAAAGAGTTTCTTAAAAGCCAGAAACATGCTCAATGCTAAATAAAAAAAAGAGGCAACATTAGAATAATAGAGAACAAGTTAAACACTGAGTAGTAGTTGCTTTAAGTACAAATACCACATTATCCACAAAACAAGTAAAAAAAAAAAAAAAAAAAGCTCATCTTTTTGTTTAGGATAGCTTTTTATCTTGCACAACCAGGAGCTGAACATAAGTTAAAAACCATCAAAATAGCTTCTAGATATTTTCCTTCTGATTCAACTTTTGATTAATCAAAGAAAGGCATTTCTATTTTGAACCATCTTACCTAATAAAATAATTAAATTTATAACACAGGTTTGCCAATTCCAATGGTTTTCACCCACAAATTCATAGATAATGTTACTTAGAATATATTTCCATAGAAACAAAGATAATTTAGCTTGAGTGCCTTAGGGCAACCTCAGAAACAAACAATTAAATTCTAATCTACTTTTGTCTCTGCTCTTGAGATTTTCTAATCATTAGGTAAAGAGGCTGACCTATTTGAATCTCTTTATAAACAAAGGGACATCTGTTGTATATGGAGGAACACAGAAGCAAACCACACAACCTCGCATGACCAGTTGCTTAAGCTTCAGCCACTGCCTTAAAACTGATGGAGCCCAGAAAGGACTGTGGCTATAGTGAAGGTCATTTAAAATTACTACAGATGTGGAACACAAAGGAAATGCTCGCTTTGTGCGCATGCCTCAAAATATATATTCCTTTTCTCACTGTTACAGTTCTGGTGATGCAATAATAAAAGATATGCAACATTGATAAAACTTTTTAAAACTAGTAGACAGACAAATGGTTACATCTATCAGAGTAATAGGCCATACCTTCCCGGGCCTCTACCGCTTCTACTGTGGCTGTAAGAGGGCAGGAGCAGTGGCATGCAAAAATGAAGACAGAAAAAGAGTGAGTAAACCAACAGCACTGCTGCCAGCACAGACATCCCAGGGTCTCACCCTTTAGCCTCTCCCCATCCCTACAAGTCAACTAGTTAGAGAAGCAAGAGGATTATTGCAAGAGAGTAAACCAGGGGTAGGGGGGTAGGACATGAGGTGGGGTGAGTTTCTAATATTTTTTAACACTCCAGGTAGCAGGGAAACATTGCTCTCTTCATTTTAAATAGCCAACTGCTATTATAATTTATGGCTTGACATCCACATATTAAAATAACTTGTCCTATCAAATAATTTAACATCACAGCATTCTTTAGTTTATAATAGCTCAGATAGTATTCAGTGAGCTGCTGCTGGGTCCTGTTTAAGAAACTTATGTACAACTACTTCCTACTGCTCTCAAGTGACTTATTGCTTTCAACTGTCCTTTTTAATTACTTAATAAAATAAGAGTGGCCTTTGAATAGCAGATTGGCATTTGGAAGGCAAGAAAAACAGGTTACATGGGAAGGGTATTTCCTGTCTGGAAGTAGGGTACTAAGCTAGCAAAGGCATAGAACTATTCAATTCCTGCTGCAAATCCCTATACCCATCTGGGCTTAGAGAGATGGCAGAGGCTGACATGTCCGACCCATATGGCTTCCATTCAGTGCTCCAGAGAGTAGGCCAGTAACAAGAAGGCCCTCTTCTCCCTCAGTGATGGAAAAGGAAGCAATTTAAAAATTAGTACCAACCAGTAAACTTCCTTGCATCTTCTAATATATGAAAAGGTTACAAGTTGTAGCAAGAAAGATCCTCTTAGGCAAATCTTGTCAGTTCCTCCGATACCAACTTTCTAAAAGAAGGCAGGGAAGAATAGCAAGCAGTGACAGTTTGCTGTTCCTGAAGCGCTGCACAGCAATACCATAGGAGAAACTGAGAGAACTACACAGTTAAGTACCCAATGCAATATGGAAAATGGATACATGGAATCCACTTATCAAGTGTTTGCATTTGTCAACCATATGTAGGCATGTGTTGAAGCAATGTCATATCCTCTCTAATCTCCTTAAATGGAAAAATAAACTTCACAAGAAAACTACAGTGCCTTCTGACAGTACGTCAGTGCTGTAACTGCTAGGAAGCAGGAGAACAAAGCACTGCCTGAAACTGTACACTGAATGTTAGTCTAATTAGAGTTTAGAAGCTACATGGTAAAATGTGTGCTAGTTATTACATTGTTTTGGGCCTTTCTAGATCTGCTTTATGGACTGGGTATTAAGATAGAGCCTGCACTGAGGGAAATTATAAGAAACAGTCCTGTAAAACTAACTGATTTTCTTCTCTTTTCAGTATCTTTACTGAAATATAATTCATACATCATAAAATTCACTTGTTAAAGTATGCTTCTAATATATTTAGAGTTGTGCAACCATCACCGCAATCTTTGTTTAGAATAATTTCATGACCCCAGAGGGAAACCTCCAACTCATTTTCAGTCACTTCCCACTTCCCTCCCTCATCTCTTCCCTTTAACCCTAGTTAACCACTAATCTACTTTCTGTCTATACATTTGTCTGTTCTGGACATTTCATATAAGTGGTATCATACAATATGTGGTCTTTAGTGACTGACTTCTTTCACTTAGCATAATGTTTTCAATGTTCACTCATGCTAAAGCATGTACCTGTATTTCATTCCTTTTATGGCTAAAGAGTATTCCATTGTATATAACACATTTTGTTTAACCAGTTAATGGACACGTGGGTTGTTTCCACTTTTTGCCTATTATGAAGAATGCCATTTATGGACATTTGTGTACAGGTTTTTGTGTGGACATACTTTCATTTCTCTGGGGAATATATAATTAGGACTGGAATAGCTGAGCAATATGATAACTCTATGTTTAACAGTTTGAAGAACTGCCAGTATGTTTTCCTAAGCAGCTGTACCATTTTACTTTCCTACCAGCAGTGTATGAGGGTCTCAATTTCTCCATATTTCTCATCAACATTTCTTATTGTTTTCTTTATTGCAGCCATCTTAGTAATTGTGAAGTGGTACCTCACTGTGGTTTTTTTTTTTTTTTTGAGACAGAGTCTCGCTTGTTGACCAGGCTAGAGTGAGTGCCGTGGCGTCAGCCTAGCTCACAGCAACCTCAAACTCCTGGGCTCAAGCAATCCTTCTGCCTCAGCCTCCCGAGTAGCTGGGACTACAGGCATGTGCCACCATGCCGGCTAATTTTCTATATATATATATTAGTTGGCCAATTAATTTCTTTCTATTTATAGTAGAGACAGGGTCTTGCTCTTGCTTAGGCTGGTTTCGAACTCCTGACCTTGAGCAATCCGCCCGCCTCAGCCTCCCAGAGTGCTAGGATTACAGGCGTGAGCCACCGCGCCCGGCCTCACTGTGGTTTTGATTTGGATTTCCTGAATGTCTCATGATGTTCAATACCATTTCATGTGTCATTTGTATGTCTTCTTTGAAAAAATGTCAATTCAAATTCTTTTCCCATTTTTAATTGAGTTGTCCTTTTATTATTCAGTTTTTAAGAGTTCTTTATATTTTCTAGACATGCATATGATTTGGAAATGAGGTATATGATTTGGAAATATTTTTACCCAATATATGGGTTGTCTTTTCACTTTCTTGTGGTACTATATGTAGCACAAAGGTTTTTAATTTTGATGTAGTCCATTTTATAACTGATTTTATGGTCTTTGTGAATCTTGTTCTGTCCCCAGCTTTCTTCTCTATTTTGGCTACTAAGAAGTCTGGAGTTAAATTTGTGGCCGACTATTGGCTTTAGTTTTGTTTTTCTTTATGCTCCAACTTCCAAGGATATTTATTTTACTTCATTGTGTTTTACGTATACTGTAACTCACACACATCCCCTTGGAATGAAGTGAGGCACAAATAAATGTATGTTACAAGGCCATGTGGAATATTGTTGATGGAAAGCTCTCCAAGTAAAGTTACATGAATGATAAAAGGTCTTTTTTAGCTAATGCTCCAGTTTGCCAATGAACCTGTGGAACTGAAACTCTGATGTGAAAATAACAAAATAAACTTATTTCCTGCAATCAATAAGAGAATAAGCAGCTCTAAAAAGTTGGCTTCAGCTTTAGTTTTGTTCTTCTCACACATTCCTGAGGATTTTTAGCAATTTCAGAAGTATCAATAGACAATCCTATACTGATTAAAACACTCATATTCAAATCAGGAATAAAGAAAAACTGGATATACTGGGACTGAGACCCCCCCCAAAAGTGATCAAGAATTATAAACAAAGAAATTCCCAAATAACATGTCTATAAAATTCTCCATGTTACTCATCCCCAATTTGCAGATTTGCTCTCTCAAGGTCTTGAAAAAAATTGGTATAGATTACAACAACTTTGTGAATCAGCAAAATTTGAAAACTTTCCAAGTAAAGATGCTATAGAACATTTTTTTTCTTCTTTACTCGAGTTACTTCCTATTACTCTAAAATATCCTTGTCAGTGTTGCTCTCAGAATATCTCACATGACTAATTACTAAGCAAAGAAATGGTGGGAAAGTACTCTGCTTACAAACCTGCACATTTATTTGAGGACCAAAAAAAACCTCTTAATCTGAAATAGTTTGCTGAACCTTTCTGTGAAATGAAAGGAATTAAAATAAATTGTGCCCCTCCAGAAATGATGGTTCAATTGTGAGGCAACCTGCTAGCAAGGCATTGGAAAAGTTACGGAATCTGGTATGTTTTAAATAAAAGTTGAGATAAACTATTTGAGTAATAGAAAAAATAAATAAATAAAATAAATTGTAGGCCGGTGCAGTAGCTCTCGCCTGTAATCCTAGCATTCTGGGAGGCCCAGGTGGGAGGATTGTTTGAGGTCAGGAGTTTAAGACTAGTCTGAGCAAGAGCAAGACCCCCTCTCTACCAAAAATAGAAAAAATTAGCTGGGCATGGTGGCATGCACCTGTAGTCCCAGCTACTTGGGAGGCTAAGGCAGGGGGATTGCTTGAGCCCAGGAGTTTGAGGTTGCAATGAGCTATGATGATGTCACTGCCCTCTATTCAGGGTGACAGAGTAAAACTCTGTCTCACAATCAATCAATCAATCAATCAATCAATCAATCAAATTGTATACTTCCAAGGAGAAACCATTCAGTCTTCCTTCTAAATAGCTAAACTCTGCCAAGCAGGATGGCTCATGTCCTGTAATCTCATCACTTTGTGAGCCCAAGGCAGGAGGATTGCTTGAGGCCAGGAGCAGCTCAAGGCCAGCCTCCTGACCAACATAGCAAGACCCTCATCTCTGCAAAAGAAATTAGCCAGGCATGGTAGTGTGCACCTGTAGTCCCAGCAACTTGGGAGGCTGAGGTGGGAGGATCACTTGAGCCCAAGAGTTTGAGACTGCAGCAAGCTATGATCCAGGCACTGCATTCCAGCCTGGGCAATAGAATAAGACCTCTGTCTCTGGCTCTCTGGTTCTCTCTATAAATAATGAATAAATAGCTAAAATCTAATATTTCAGTATTCATTTTGAAAGAGGAGGAATTCAATCCTATAAAAAAGAAAAATGAGCTTGTTCCTTTGGTCCTTGTTCAATTGGTCAATAGTAATGAAATTTCCACAAAAGGAAAAGGATTCCTATAAATGACAGGATGGTTAAGCACAGTGGCAGGTGCCTAAAGTTCCAGCTACTCAGGAGGCCAAGATAAGTCCTCTTGAGCCCAGGGTTCGAGGCTGCAATATGTTATGATTGCACCTGTGGATAGCCCCTGCGCTCCAGCCTGGGTAGCATAGGAGACCATATCTATCATTGTTATTATTTTTTTAAGACAAAGTCTCATTCTGTCACCCAGGCTGGACTGCAGTGGTGCAGTCATAGCTCACTGCAGCCTGGAACTCTGCCTCTGCCTCTGCCTCCCAAGTATCTTGAACTACAGGCACATGCCCAGCTAATTAAAAAAAATGTTTTTAGAGAGGGTGGTCTCTGGGCAACTTCCCTGTTGCCCAGTCTGGTCTCAAACTCCTGGCCTCAAGTGACCCTCCCGCCTCCTAAGTGGCTGGGATTACAGGCACTCAGTGCCCAGGCTCATAAAAAAAAAAAAGGCAAGAAAAAAAAAAAACTTAAGTAGAAACAATTCAATAAAACAAGGGAGGCAAAAACACAGTGAAACTTTAGTTTAAGATAATGCTTTAATTGCAGTTGCATCCATTGAATTAGTCATCCATTGATGTGATTCTGTCTCCCCTCCTTGTTTTACCATATCTATGTTTATTCTGACAAATATCAATCTTTTTGATCCAGGAGTCCATAAAGTCTTCTTCTAAGAAGTCAGCTCCCACAAGATTTTTAGAACTGATCCTCTGGGTGAAGAGGAGATTGTGGTACTAGAGTAGAATATGGCTACAGCCCCCCAAATTGCATTAAGGTATAAAATATACACATGAGGCATATCATGTGCACAATCTGAAGTATACAGCTCAATATATTTTTATGTATGTATACACATGTGTAACTACCACCTTTTTTGTGACATAGAGAAGATTCCTGATACTCTAGAAGTTCCCTGTGTCCTTCTGGGTCAATATTCTCCCACTAGAGGAAACCCCATTCTGACTCCTATTATTATTACTGACTGTTCTTGAACATCATATAAATCAGAAAGTATGTGATTTTCTGTGTCTGGCTTTTTTAGTTTGCCATAATGTCTGTGAGATTCAACCACGTTTTGCATGTCTCCATAATATGTTATTTAAAAAAATTTCTTAGTATTCTATTGTATAAGGATTAATATAACAGAATTGATTATTCTACATTTGAGTTGTCTACAGTTTTGGGCTATAATGGATAAAGCTATGGTGAACATTCTCATGTAGATCCTTTGGTGAATATACACACTAATTTTCCTTGAATATATACTAGGTGTGGAATTGCCAGTTTATAGGGGAGACATACATTTAGCTTTACTGCCGAATAGTTTGCCAAAGTGGTTAGTTGAACCAATTTACAAGTCCTCCAGCAATGTATCTAGCTCTGTTTTTCCACAAGCACACCAATACTTGGTATTGCTAGATTTTTTAATGTTAATAATTCTAGTGAGTATTTAGTGGTATCTCACTGTGGTTTTAATATCCATTTCCCAGATGAATAACTGTATTAAACATCTTTTCATATGCTTATTGGCCATTTTGATATCCTCCCTGATGAAGTATCTATTAAAATCTTTTGACCATTTTTTAAATTTGTTTTTTCTTATTGATTTGTAGTTCTTTATATATTCTGAATACGAGCCCTTTGTCAGGACATATTATTGCAAAAATCTTTTTCCAGTTTGTGGCTTATCTTTTCCCTGTCTTAATCATGTATTTTTATGAAGACAAGTTCTTAATTTTAATGAAATTCAATTTGTTGATATTTTTAAGGTTAGTACTTTTTGTGTGCTACTTAAGAACTCTCCCTACCCCAATGCTACTCTCCATGTTTTCTGCTAGGAATTTTATTGTTTTACCTTTTACATATAAGTTATATTTCACTTAGAATTAATTTTTGTGTATGAAGGAAAGTAAGGGTCAAGACTCAGTGGTCCCTCAGGTGTATAAGCAATTGCTCTAGTACCATTTACTGAAAGAAGTCCTGATTCTTAATTTAACATCGGCTGCTAGATAATGGGAGTACACCTTCCATAAATGGAGCATTCACTACTTACCAGTCTCAATAGTCTGCTTCCCTCCCGAGAGGACGCCCACAGGGAGTGTACCTGTAGGTGTCAGCCCCTTGAGAGTCAGCACACTCTCATGCTCTTGCCTGGAAAGAAAGATCAAAGCCCTGGGTTAATGCCAGGGAGCCCACCATTCAGCACTAAAAAGATACTTGAAGGAAGTTAAGAAAAAAAGCATAGAGGTAGAGGACAGGTTCTCTTACCTCTGAGCCCTTCCCTGACTCAAAGAAAAGGAAGTTGTTTGTACATATTCCAACTTAAAAAAATCAGCCAGTTCTCATTTCTCAATAAGAGGTACTTAGCCAGGCCCTGTTCCAATGTTTGCCATATATTATCCCATTGAATCCATTTAGCAACCCTGTGAGGTACGTCCTATTATTATTTCTATTTTGTAGATAAGGAAACTAAGGCACAGAGATGAAACTCAAGATCCCACAGCCAAGAAGAGCCAGAATGTGAGCATGGGAAATCTGGCTCAAAAGTCCACACTAAACCACCACATTCACTATATCAAAGGTAGCACCAAATGAATGTTTGCTGGAACATTTTTAGTCACTTTCACATGTAGGTTTGATATAATCTGCACTGAACCTGAAGCCTTGCAGTGCCATTAACCAATTCTAATTCTAAAAAAAAGTCCTGAAATCAACTCGTAATTCACTGTCAAAATGCCTTTAACCCACACTGTAGTGAAAGACATCCTTACCGAAGAACCGAAAAGACCCGTGCCATCTTCCCAATGGCTCTGATCTTATTCTTGATGATCTCTTTACGAACTGTCGTGCTTCCTTAGAGATACAAACAATAAGTGAGTTAAAGGAATGTCTTGGCAGGTTGTTTTTAAAAAATGTAGGATGAAGTGTCTTTCTTATTTAAGTTAAAGAAACTATTGTTTTAAAAATAAAAAATCAAGGCCTAAGTTTGTTTAAACAAACAAAAATCCCAGGAAGTTGTAATGAGCAAGAGAAAAAATAACCCAGAAGACAAAAAGATGAAGTAAAAATTTGGAGGTACCACAAACAAGGCAGATTGAGTGGATCTATGGGAGGTGGGAACTTATTTGTGGTTCTGAAATGTTGAACACAGTGAAGAATGAAACACACACACACATAAACAAACCTCACAAAGACAGTTGCTACAGCAAAGGTCTCTTTTGAGAATGCTGTGGGCCACCTTAGGATGCAGGGTTTGGCCTGCCAAACGGCAAGTGATCATTCCAGCAGTTGTCTTCTGCACATAGACATGCCCAACTAGTTCTCCCGAACTTAGTGAGGGCTGCTTTTATTCTATAATCATCACTTACTCACACTGGTGAGTTATTTCTTCACAATACTATTGACAACTGTGCAGTATTTTAAAAAGCAAAATCAAAAAAGTTAACCCAAGACTTTATGGCTTTTTCTCATTTAAGATTCGGAAAACAGCCCACACGTGAGAAGGCAAGGTCCAGGCATGCGTCAGGTGGCTGCATTCAAAAGTCAGAAAAAGAAACATGGGCTCTCTTTCCTCACCTCCAGCTCTCAATATCCTGCTGGATCATGCAGCAGATCCAGAGAGAACTACACATTGAAACTAAAAGGGAGAACGGAGAGCCCATGTGAAATTATTCTACCAATTAAAGATGTCTAAACAATAGATAGTGGTGAGACAGACAGTGAGTATTAAGCTCTAAGTACATTTTCGTCAGATACCTTTCTGATAGCTTGAAATGTAGTGATCTTCAGGGAGAAGAGACACCAAGAAACAAGGAGATGAAGATAGAAATATGAGAAGAGAAATTTAAGTTTACATGGAAGAGAGAAAAAAATCAAAGTGAAATGCAATGAGAGAAGCAGGTTATTATTTTTATCAGCTCAAAAGAGATACCCTTGGTAACATGCTAGAATATTAAATTACAGATTTCTGCTGTCAGTATTTTCTTCCACTTCTTAAAAGTTTACATTTTACATTAATTCACATCTATTATTAGCCAACATTTTCTACCCTAACAGAGTGAAATTAACATTAGACAATGATATCATTTGTCGAACAACAAACAAATGATGCTAAAAACAAGGAACAAGAACAAAGAACAGAACAAAAGTTTACAAATCTCTCAATAAGAACATTATGTTTTTTATTTAATGGATTCAGTATCTTCTCATCTTTCAGGGGATATTATAGTTCTTCCTTTTTAAAGTTTTGATGTTATTCAGAATTTCAAGTTCATTTAAGTTGCCTTTTGCTGTTTTTGTTGTGATGTCTTAAAGGCTTTCTTTAGGTGTCTGATATTCCTTGATGTTTGCTTATGATTAAGGGACTAAAAAGCTTTCAGAGTTAGTGGGTAGAGACTGCTGACACTGCTTTACATTGAGTGATTAGGGTGGGCTTTTGTCAGAGAACTGAGTGTGCATACGGTCATTTAATTCACCTGCTTTTGGCAAGGTACTGATGCCTTCAATTGTATCTCCAGTCCAGAAATCCTTTGGTTTACACTTTTAGAGATTAGTCTCCAGACTTGGAGGAGACAGTTGCCCAGTGGAAACTAGGACTTTAACTGCCTTTCAAATAGCTTTTGCCCAGTCTACTTATGTTAGCTCAGAGTCCCCTACCACTCCCCCTTCCCACAGTTCTAAATCCAGCAATTGGTGCTGCTAATTCCTTTGCTTTTTGAGGATTCTGTGATGGAACTCAGTATTCCCTATTGCTAAGCGGTGCTTGAGCTTTCTTTGAATCAGTTAAGTCAATGACACTAATACATCTGTTTTCCAGTTTCTAAAAATTCCTATAAAAATTCCATTTTTGTAGGTATATAATTTTTTTAACATTTTTTATTGTGAAGTATAATAAACATATGGAAAAGTACACAAAACTGATACATAACTCAATGATTTGCTAAACAGCAAATGCCCATATAACTACCACTCAAGTCAAGAAACAAAATGTTGCTAGGACCCCAGAAGCTCCCCTTAGGCCTCTCCTAATACTTATAGTCTCTCTCCTCCTGAAAGAAAAGCATTCTCTTGACCTTCATTGAAATTATTTTCTTGCTGTTCTTTATAGTGTTACCATGTAAGCACACATCCATAAGCACTAGTTTTCATTGTTTTGAATTTTATGTAATTGGGGCAATCACATATGTACTTTTTTGGTCTGGCTTCTTTTGCTCAACATCATGCTTCAAAGATTTATCCATATTTTCCCTGTTGCTATATTTCACTTACATTCCACTATTTATCCTTTTTACTATCAATGGTCATTTGGGCTGATTCTAATTTTGGGGAATTAAGAATTAGGCTGCTATAAATATTCTTGTATATTTCTCTTTGATACATGTATGCATATATTTCTGTTGAGCACATTCCTAGGATTAGAATGCTTAGTCATAGGGTACGTATATGTTCAACTCTGGATAACAGTTTGGCATTATCTACTGAAGTGAATGTACCAATTTATACTTCTATATAAAAGCATTCTTGTTGCTACACATGCTTGCCAACATCTGGTATTATTCATCTCTAATTTTAGCCAATCGGGTAGGTGTATAATATCATCTCATTATGGTTTTAATTTGCATTTTCCTGATTACTAATATAGTTGAGTATCTTTCCATATTTTTTACTGACCATTTGGATATTATCTTTTGTGAAGTGATTGTTCAAAACTCACTTTATTAATCTATGGGGTTTAAAAATTTTTTTTTTTTGGAGACAAGGTCATACTCTGTCCCCAAGGCTGGAGTGCAATGGCATGATCCTAGCTCCCTGGGGTCTCAAACTCCTGGGCTCAAGTAATCCTCCGACCTTAGCCTCCTGAGTAGCTGGAGTCCTGTACATACCACCACGCCTGGCTAATTTTTTTAAAAAAAATCTTGTACAGATGAAGTCTTGCCATGTTGTCCAGGCTGGTTTAGAACTCTTGGCCTCAAGCAATCCCCCTGCCTTGGCCTTCCAAAATGCCAGGATTAAAGGTATGAGCCACCATGTCTAGCCTTAATCTATAGTTTCTGTATCTTCAGCAAATGTATCTTCAGCCTTTTCTTGGTTGTATTGCAAATATTCCTTTCCCACTCTGTAGCCTCTTTTTCACATGCTTAATGGAGTTTTTTGATGAAAACAACTTCTTACTTTTTTTTTTTTAAGAGACAGGGTCTTGCTCTGTTTCCCAGGATAGAGTGCAGTAGTACCTTAAAGCCCATTGCAACCTCAAACTCCTGGGCCCAAGTCATCTTCCTGCCTCAGGCTCCCAAGTAGCTGGGACTATATGTGCATGCCACCACTCCTGGCTAATTTTTCCTATTTTTTTGTAGAGATGGGGGTCTTGTTCTTGCTCAGGCTGGTCTTGAACTCCTAGCTTCAAGCAATCCTTCCACTTCAGCCTCCCAAAGTGCTAGGATTATAGGTATGAGCCACTATGCCTGGCCCCTTACATCTTATTTTTTTCAGAGTCTATTTCATGTAATATTAATCTATCTACATCAGCTTTTCTTTGGTTAGTGTTTGCATTATATATTTACTTCTGTTTTTTTACTTTCAACTTTCTGTATATTTATGCTTTGGATTGCTTTTATAAAACATTGCTAAGCTTTTTTTTTTTTTTAATTCTGTCTGACAATCTTTCTGTGTCAATTTACATTTAATAAAATTGCTGGTATTTTTACCATCATTAGATTTGTCCTACTCTTATATGTACCTTCCCTCCTTTCTTGCCTTCTTTTGAATTATTTTTTCATCATTTCATTTTTTTTCTATAACTTAAAAGTTATATAATTGAAACTATTTTCTTACAGGTTATACTAGAGATCACAACATTTATCTCTTAATTATCAAAGTATAATGTTAATGGATACTTTCCTCTCTTTTCAGATAATGTACAGCCCTCACACTCTTTAACTCTCCTTATCCCAAAATTATTGTCATGTATTTTCAATCTTTTAAATTCAACAAATATTTTTATTATTGTTTAATAAAGTCTACATTTGATTTACCCACATATTTTCTGCCATTCTTACTCTTTATTCCTTCCTGGATCTCCAAGCTTCAATCTGGTATTTTCCTTCTGTTTGAATAATATCTTTTAGAATTTCATTTAGTGTGTGTCTCCTGATAAGTCTCTTACTAAAATTTTAAAGTGGAGAGAGAGACTGAAAAATGTTTCTATCACCTTCATTCTTGAATTCTAGGTCATCAGTTATTATCTTTTAGCACTTTGAATATGCTATTCATTGTTTTCTTCTTCCATTATTTCCATGAAGAATCTACTATCAGTTTAATTGTTCTTTTTTGAAAGAAATATTTTTATCTTTTTGTGACTGCTTTAAAGGTTTTTTTCTTTGTCTTTTGTCTTGAGCACTTTTACTAGCATGTGCATAGGTGCTGTTTTCTTTGTATTTATTCTGTTTGCATTTATAGGGCTTCTTAAACTATGGCTTAATGTCTTATTGATTTGGGAAAATTTTATCCATTATCTTTTCAAATACTGCTTGTACCTCATTCTCTTGCTCCTCTTCTCTGGGACTGCAAACACACATATAGTATTGATTATATCCTCCACCTCTGATGCTTTCTCTGTGTGTATATATTTTTCTTTTTTCTCTTCATGCTTCATTCTAGATGTTTCTTCAGACCTATCTTCTAGTTCACTTTATGTTTAGCTTTATTGAATCTGATGTTAATTCATCATTGAATTTTTTGTTATTTTATTTTTCAGTCCTGTCTCAATCTGGTCCTTTATGTCCTTGAACATGGTAAGCACAGCTATATTTTGTTTTTTAGTATAGTTATTTTAACTATTTAATGTGATAAAGCCAATGCCTCGAGAACTTGAGGGTCTATGTGTATTTTTGCTATTTCTCATTCTCTTTACATTCCTGGTTATTTTTTGTTATGAACCATATATTCTACTTGAAAGACTATTTGTTGAAATCATTTATGGTTCTACATGATGTTATCTTTTTTTTTTTTTTTTTTTTGAGACAGAGTCTCGCTTGTTGCCCAGGCTAGAGTGAGTGCCGTGGCGTCAGCCTAGCTCACAGCAACCTCAAACTCCTGGGCTCAAGCAATCCTCCTGCCTCAGCCTCCCGAGTAGCTGGGACTACAGGCATGCGCCACCATGCCCGGCTAATTTTTTCTATATATATATTAGTTGACCAATTAATTTCTTTCTATTTATAGTAGAGACGGGGTCTCGCTCAGGCTCAGGCTGGTTTTGAACTCCTGACCTCGAGCAATCCGCCCGCCTTGGCCTCCCAGAGTGCTAGGATTACAGGCGTGAGCCACCGCGCCCGGCCTTACATGATGTTATCTTAGTCCAGAGAGGTTTGCTTTCCTCAGGCGTCTGGGACCACCTTATTTAAATTTCAGGGATTGAAATAATTTGAAGGTAGGTTATATTTATATCATTTAAGTCACTCTATCTCAACAAGTATTTACCTGTTGTGCTCAATGCACTATACTTGTGTTTAGGGGGCTATATGGTGACAGAAACCCAATTTTGTCCCAGGACTCAGGGAATTTATAGTTGGGGGTGTGTGTGAAACATTATTAACCATGTAGTGATATAAATAAATTTAAAACTGAGACTCTAACAAATGCTAAGGAGAGGTACATAGTGATATGAGAGCATAACAGGGGTACTGGGTCTAGTTAGGGATGTCAGAAATGTCTTCCCTGAGGAAGTAACAGTAAGTTGAACAGGAACTAACTAGAAGAGAAGAGGAGAAAGGAGGCTTGACTAAGGGAACTAATATTCCAGGTAGAGAATCTAACATACAGATATACCATAATTGATTTACCCAGCTCTCCATGAAGGATATTTAGATTGTTTTGAACCTTTTGCTATTAGAGACAATACTTCAATAAATATTCCCATATATCATTTTTGGCATACTTTTATAAGCATACCCTTATGGTAATGAAAAATCCTTTCTTAACATATAAAATACAGTTCATAATAATTTCCATTTCCACTTACATTTGAATATAAATTTTATTACATCTCTTTCTTCCATATTTCATCTTCCCTTAACTTAAATTCTTTATTATTTATTTTTTAAAAATTTTCACTTGGCTGTATTATTCCTTAAGAACTAGTTCCTTACAGTGATCTTCTATCCCATAAAGGTACTTACAACCTATGTTCTATCTGCTCTTGACCTTCAATATGGAACCTGAAGCATAAGCATATGTGGGAATTTCCTTTAGATTTCCACAGTGAGCTAGGTTTTCTCTACTATGGAGATGGTTTACCTTAACAGTTAAGTGAATCACCTCAGCACAGAGCCTGGAGAGAATGAGACAGTCAGAGGTTTGTGCTCAGGTGACCACCATCTCTCCAGATATCCTGCATTCTGAGGTAGGTTAGGACCTACCTTTAAAATCAAACCTCCTATAACACACTAGGAAAAAAAAATACTTGACTACAAATATAACAAAATGTTACCATACAAAGATCCCTACCATGTCAAAAAGGAAAGAAAAAACATGCACATAACCCAGTAGAAAAATGTATAGAAGATATGACTTGACAAGTCACAAAAGAGAAATAAACACGGCCAATATACACACAAAAAATACAAATTAAAAATTTTAAAACATCAGACTATAACAAGTATAATAAATACTACTGGACAGAGCATTGATTAACTATGCATCACACACAAGTGCAGACTGGAACAGCCTTTCTAGAGGATATCTGTATCAGATTTAAAATTTTAAGTACTAATTAACACAGAAATTCAATTCCTAGAAATTTTTCCTAAGGAAATTATCATGCAAATGTTACCCTTGACTTTCTAATATTGCTTTACTTTCTTTCATAGCATATATCACCATTTGACTCATATTTACTGTTTGTTTTGTCTTCCCTACACTAGAATATAAGCTTATGGAAAGCAAGGACCAAACAAAACTTGGCACATATCAAGCATATAATAAATACTGGTTGTTAACAGAATGTGCAAAGATTTATCTATGCAAATTTTCAAAACTGTAGAAATTTTAAAAGCAAAAAGTTGGGGGGAAAAATCCAATATCCAATAGCATGGGATTGGTTAAAAACAAAGAATGATCAACTTGGAGGACTATGTATCCATTAGAAACTAGTCTACAAAAGAAAATAAAAACAGTAAATATACACGATACCATTACATGACCTTATTCTTGTTAAAAAGAAAAAAAGAGAGGAAAAGTATATACAAAGATAAAAGACTGCTAATATAGTATATATCAAGATGTTAACAGTGTATATCTACGAGACAGTGGGTTTATGGGTGAATTTTTTTCTTATTTATGATTTGCTATATTTTTCAAATTTTATTTTCTACAATGTATATAATTCTCTTTTAATATGACAAAAGAAAATTATTCAAAATAAACTAAAACAACTAAAATCCAAACTTCTCCTTAGTTTCTAGTTCAAAGGAGGAATAAGGAATAGTTTACCTTCTGTTTCTTCTTCATTAATCAGTTCATCATCAGAGCATATGTTGAGAATGTTAACCAGCATCTCTGTGACTATACAATAACACAAAATAATCCAAAATTTATACAATTAATAAGAGACTTTCTCTAAAATAATGTGATATCTAAATAAACACATATGGTAAATAAGCATAAGCAAAATTATTTATTATTATATCAGTAAGAATGGCTATAAAGAGTAGCAATAAACACAGACCTTCAGGTTTAAAAAGAATTTGGGTAGATTACTTGCTCTAGTAAAGGTCTGGAGTCTTTGAAGACTCTATTGCATAATTACTTGTTTTTAACCAAGATTATTTTCTTTCTTTCCTTCCCTCTTTCCTTTTCTTCCTTCCTTCCCTCCCTCTCCCTCCTCTCTTTATTATTTTTTTCTTTCTTTCCCTCTTTCCTTTCCTTCCTTCCTTCCCTCCGTCTCCCTCCTCTCTTTCTTTATTCTTCTTTCTCGAGATGGGGTCTCACTATGTTCGAGACCAGGCTGGTCTCAAACTCCTGGCCTCAAATGATCCTCCCACCTCTGCCTCACAGAGTGCTGGGATTATAGGCATGAGCCACCACACTTGGCCAATTACTTGATTTTATTAGATTGATGTTGAGATATTTTTCCTCACTGATATGCACATGAGAACATTTCTTCTCATTTTATGAAGAAGTTAAGCCAACAGGCCTATGTTCAACAGGCTTATTTTATATTTCCATAGCTTATCTGTATAAGTGTACATAAAACTATAAGGACAATAATCCTATCTAAATCTCTTAAGCACTAAAGAAATCACTGAAGGAATGGTAAATAACTGTTATTTTAACATGTTGATATTGATAATAGTAGGTCAGCTACTTTAAATTAATATCTAGAATAAGAACACCTTAATAGACTAGAACTAAAATTTAAGAACCAATTAAGTGCCACTTAAAACTCTTTGTAGAGAACAAACAAAATTAGAAAACATGTCTGAACCATCAGGGGGCTCAAGCAAATATAAAGGTGTGCTCAGTCACTAGCTAAAACAAGTGATGATCCAGACACTTGAGTTCTCTTACCTTTTTCCCCAACGAAAGGTAAAGACCATGTGAAAACATCCATAAAGTTTGGAAGCCAGTAGGGGTGTGGAGAACAGTTAAACTGCCTGATGTTCATGACATTGTTTTCATATTTCAACACAGCAGCTAAAAAGGAAAAAAGCAAGAAAATCTGCCATAGGACCATGACAAGGCAACTGGTAGGTTTTGTACAGTTGTGTACCTACTCCACAGACTTCAGTGCCTTATTTTCCACTTGCAAATTCAGTACTATGTGAAGAGCAGATGAAAAATTTTAAAGCATTTTATACAGTTCATTCCTTTTTTTTTTTTTTTTGAGACAGGGGCTCACTCTGTTGTCCAGTTGTCCAGACTGCTAGGGTACAGTGTGCCATCATAGCTCGCTGCAGCCTTGAATTTCTGGGCTCAGGTGATCCTCCTGCCTCCGCCTCCTGAGTATCCCCAACTATTATACCAGATATTTTACAATTTTTTGTAGATACAGGGTCTCACTATGTTGCCCAGGTTGGTCTTGAACTCCTGGCCTCAAGCAATCCTCCCACCTCAGCCTCCCAAAATACTGGGATTACAGGCATGAGCCACTATGCCCAGCTAGTTCATTCTTTTAAGAATTATTCCAAGGAACAAAGTTACCTGAAGTGCTCATATAATAAAAGTACAAAAGAAACTGAAACTTCAAAGGGTCACTGCATAGAAGCTATCTATAGAAACCTCAGGATATACATGAGAAAAAATTTCCCATAATTTCTTTTTATAGGTGAAATAGTTATACAATCACAACTCTCTTTTGAGGGCAAATACCATTCATTAAACAGACATAGCCTATTTTGCCAGTCATTAGCCAAAGCCAAAGATTTTATAAACCCTCTGAGCGTTTATAAATAGCAGTTATCAATTCAAAATGGGGGATACAAATGGCAAACTTGGAGCAATTTACACTTAATGTCCAAAAGTAAATCATCTCTGCATACAATATAGTGGATTTTAAAACTGCTTCTTTCTCCAATACACAGTCAATATATTGCCAACACACTATAAATGTCTAATATTAACCAGTTCATATAACTGCACATATACTTTGATGCCAACTGATTTTCCTCATATTTTAAAAGTCTTAAAATCCAATTCCTTAGTCTTCACCACCAGAAATATTTGCACTGTTCTCTTAATTATTCTTACTGTGTTCATAAAATATAATAGGGTTTAACAGTTCTCTAGATATAACAGATATAGGTCATCTCTTGGTTCTTGCTTCCTTGTTATAAGATAACCTAGTGTTCTCAAAATTTAAGCTACTTAATGTCTATATATACCAAAGATTATAAAGAAAAATACATGAAAATAGAATCTCTAGCTCTTAAAAACCTAACATTGCTACAATGTCCATGTCTCATTATTTTTATGTATATATACCTTACTTAGGTTAGGTGACTACATCATATATCATATTCAGCAACTTCTTCAATCTATGCAGGAAAAGGAAGGGGGAGGTGTCTCTCAATAGTGCATGATTAGAAATAAGAGTTTTAAAAAACTGCTTTTGGGTATGTTCCCAGTGGACAGAAAAAAATAGGAATAAGAATCTTTTAAAATCATGACTTAAGGGTCTTTCATATAACCAGTGGAACTAAGAAATGTCTATAGGTACCAATAAGTCTAAAGAATATGAAAGAAAGAAAAGCAACAGTATAAAGAGAAGAAGAAAAAGGATGATAGAGTTCCCTTTTTCAAGAAAAGAGGTACTTGTATGGAAAGTAATTGAGTACCACCAGGGATTGTTTCAGATGCCACATTTCCTGACTTTTTCCTAAAAAAAAAAAAAAAAAAAAAAAATGTTTAAGAAACTACCAAGGAAAATAAGATTATTTGGAAGTCAAGCCTCCAATCATATCAAAGCTGACAGAAAACTCAGAATGGACTGTGAATTTAAAAGTTTGCTAAAGGGGGAGGGGGGCGGGTATATACATACATAATGAGTGAGATGTGCACCATCTAGGGGATGGTCATGATGGAGACTCAGACTTTTGGGGGGAGGGGGGGAAATGGGCATTTATTGAAAACTTAAAATCTGTACCCCCATAATATGTCAAAAAAAAAAAAGTTTGCTAAAGGAATAATCAAGAACAAAACCAGATCAGAAGGGACACAGATTGAGCTGGCATTAGCAAGCTGTACAGTGGCTGCTGATTTAGGTGGCATGTTTCAGCTCAGCACACTGATAAATCCATTGGGTGATCAATAGATACTCTTAATAATGAAGTTTAAAAAGGGAGTGAGAAGGGAAAGTCTTCATTACAAATATGAGGTCTAGGGCCACTAAGTGTCCTTAAAGATGCTTAACAACACAAGCAATGCATCCCATTGATAAGGGAGGAAACAAGAATAAAAGTAGGTTGCTAATATATTGGAAGTATTAGGAAAAAGGAAATAATGAATGAACTTGGGGAGAGCAGAGCACTGCAGTATAGCTAAGGCTTAGAGAAGAATGGTAAGAAGTAAAAAGAAAACAGCATAAGCCTAGGACAGAAAATAGTCAAAGAAATGTTTTTTGAAAATGGGTAAGTCACTGAAAGACACACTGAAATAACTAACCCAAATCAGAGTTAAATGAGATATGCCATTCCATAGCTTACTTTTAAGTAGAGTAAATATTAAGCACATTTTGGCTCTCTTCGAAACTTCTCTCCCCAACTACATATACAAGGTATGACTATAAAGTAATGAGACTTAAGAAACCACCCACTACAAACACACCAGACCTTTATATCAGATGAGTGTGGTCCTTTGACATTATCACATCAGGCACAGTAACAGTAAAATGTTATAGTATTATAGCAGTTTATACTTTGAACAATGCTTTAATATTCATTTTCACTATTCTAACATCTTTAACAATATAACAGGTATTTTAAAGATAAACTGAGGCTCAAAAAAGTTAAGCATCGTTTTAAATGTGATACCCTTAAAAGTGAAGGAGGACTGGACTAGGAACTCTGACTCCTTGCTTGGCATTATTTTCAACACAACTTGCTGCCTTACCATGCAATTAATCCAGAGATACTGCCATTACTCAAAACACTTTTGGAACTCCTCTTTTGGAAGTGCCTCCAGAGCCGTTGCATCAGCAACACGAGAAAAAACAGTCTCATTACCTTATAATCATACCTAGTTTCTGACCCCAAATGGTACCATCTAGCCTGATGACTCACCTTATCAGTCTTGACTCCGAATGACTTTTGGCTGTCCAAAAATCAAATCCACCCTCAAAGGACGAAGATTTCCCATCATTGAGGATACTCAAAAGAATGTGTCGCAGACTCTGAAGGCAGTGCCAAAAGAGGAGTTCCAAAAATGTTTTTGAGCAAGGACAGCATTGTTGGAATACGTGTATAACCTTCCAAAGTAACTACTTTGAAGGGACAATACTCATTTGGATATATTTGTTCTGGCATGTTTGTTTTAAAAGTCCTATTATTTTACAGTCATACTTTATAAAATAACAAAATAATTACACAGACATGAAGTTTTTAGTAGGATCACTGCCTTGACAGAAAACTTATGAATTATGAATCACAGAAGCTTTAAATTTTAAAAAATACTTTAACAGGATAAAGTCTTAGAAGAATTTCTGGAACAAAAGGCATGTGCATATCCAGGCCTCTTTTTTTATGTGGGAAACTGAGGTTTAGAAATATTATGTGACTTACCCAAAGTCACACTTTTAGTTTCTGGCAGGGCTTAGACAAAAATGAAAAATTTTTTCTGACTTTTTGTACACTATTCACTCTACCTATATTTCAAGAAGAGCAAAAATAGCTAAGTATTTGACAAACATTAAAATACCAATGGTCACATTTTTTTGAGGTACTGCTATAAACAAAATAAATTCACCAAAACCAATAGTTTATGCTAACTGTTCTAATGTGAATCTGAAGCAATTTTTTCCTCTTATACTTTGATTCAGTAGCACAAACCTGACCTATTATGATCATCATTTATGTTCACAAAAAACCCAATAATCCTTAGGATATGGAGACCAAGCAGCAGCATAAATTCTAAATGTCTTGGCCTTTGTTTCAATGAAGACCTCTTTTTTCTTATTTAAAATTTATATTTAAAAATAATACACACATACATATAATTAAACTGGAGCTCACATTTACTCACAAATTGAAACTCAAGTATTGCTGAACTCCATTACCTTTATTGTTATAGACATCTAGGTAATTGGGGGCTGAGAAAATTGTAATAAGCGATGGAAAGCCTGTTGTTTGGGTCTTCCTGTACATTCGATACCTGGAAGAGAGATGACAGCTCATCTGTCTTTATATCAAAGGTAAAGACTCTACAGTGATATTCAGTACAGTTTTAATATAACTTACCCGGCATCTTGGGCTTCATGGGCTCTGATAATTGATAATAAATTATTGTTCTGCAAAAATTCACAAACTGCAGGGTAACTGAAAAACAAAATTAGAACATATAAATTCAGAATTAAAATAATTATTTTGAATAGGAAGAAGGGGGAAAGCCAAGATGATATAATTTGATTTTGTTTCAAGATTACAGGTATTATACACCACTAGAATTTTATTAATATCTTAGTAATCATCATTCTGTGTTTCGATTTCACTAATATACCTCATTATAGATCAAACATGAAGATAACACTGTAATCCTAGCACTCTGGGAGGCCAAAGTGGGTGGATTGCTCAAGGTCAGGAGTTCAAAACCAGCCTGAGCGAGACCCCATCTCTACTATAAAAAAATAGAAAGAAATTAATTGGCCAACTAACATATATATATAAAAAAAATTAGCCGGGCATGGTGGAGCATGCCTGTAGTCCCAGCTACTCGGGAGGCTGAGACTGGAGGATTGCTTGAGCCCAGGAGTTTGAGGTTGCTGTGAGCTAGGCTGACGCCATGGCACTCACTCTAGCCTGGGCAACAAAGAGAGACTCTGTCTCAAAAAAACCCACAAAAAACAAAACAAAAAAACCCATGAAGATAACAGATAATACGAAAATAGAAAGTGCTTTCCCATTTAAAATTTTTTTGTCTTAACTCAAAACAATACAAAACTTTTCTTAGTGCCGTGACATAAAAAAGTATGATAGTAATGTGTGTCTGTGTGTATGTATAGCAGGTGCTAAAAGCTGAACACATAATTTTCTTCAACCATCAACTATCAAATTGTTAGAAAAGTAAAAGAATCTGCTTCCCAGGTAAACTATTAGAAATAATAAGCACACAAATTCAGTAATGTTACAGGATATAAAATCAACGTACAAAAATCAGTATATCTTATAACTTTGACTTAAACAGTATGAAAGCAAATTATGGAACCAAAACATTTGTAATCCATAATATTCTGAAATAAAAAATAAATTAAAAAAAGGAAATTAAGAACATAATCCCATTTGTAATAGCAACAAAAAGAATAAAATACATACAAATTAAACTTAACCAAGGAGGTGAAAGACTGAAAATTATAAAGCCTTGATGGAGGAAAAGACACCAATAAATAGAAAGACATCCCATGTTGACGGATTAGAAGAATACTGTAAAAATGTTCATACTATCCAATGTGATCTACAGATTCAATTCAATCCCTATCAAAATCTCAATGTCATTCTTTATAGAAATAGAAAAAAAAAACCCAAAAATCAAAAGGAAACAAAAAAACCCAAAAAACCAAAACAAACCTCAACAAGAAAAAAAAAACCGGAAGCAACAACAATACTTCCTGATTTCAAAATATATTACAAAGCAACAATAATCAAAACAGTACAGTTCTTGCAAAAAACCAGATACCTAGCCAATGGAACAGAATAGAGGGCCCACAACTAAATCCACATATTTACAGTTAATTGATCTTCAACAAGGGTGTCAAGAACACACAATGAGGAAAGGATATTCTCTTCAATGAACGGTACTGAGAAAACTGTATATCCACATGTACAAGAATGAAACTGGACCATTTTTACACCTTATACAAAAATCAACTCAAATGGATTGAAGACTTAAATGTAAGACCTAAAACTTTAAAATAACTAGAAGAAAATGTAGGGAAAATCTTTCTTTCTCTTTTTTTCTTTGAGACAGGGTCTCTCTCTATTGCCCAGACTAGAGTGCAATGACACACCATAGCTCACTGCAACCTCAAACTGCTGGGCTCAAGCGATCCTCCTGTTTCAGCCTCCTGAGCAGTGGGGACTACAGGTGTGCATCACCATGCCCAGCTAATTTTTAAATTTTTTGTAGAGACAGCTATGTTGTTCAGGCTGGTCTCGAACTCCTGGCCTCAACTATCCTCCTACCTTGTTTCAGATGTGTTTCTGTGTAAAGATACTTTATTTAATAAATACTATTGATTCACTAACAATGAATTCCTGGCCAACAACACCATAACTCATGCCTGAACAAAGCTTATACCTGATACTCTCATATTATCTCTGTAAGGTTTGCCTTCTTGTGCTTAAGAACCCTAGACAACATTTCAGCACTATGCTTGGGAGCCATTTTAAACAGTGAAATCACTAACAAAAAGCAGAAAAACATGAAAAATGTTGCACTAAATAAACCACAAAAAGAATAACTATATTATAATATGAGAGCTGAAAAGAAGGCAGAGCATCACTTTGTTCAACTTCAGCTGGGAACAATGTGTGTGGCAAAACTCAAATTTTTTGTCAACTATGCACAATGTGTGTCCAAGAATGATTGTGAAAGCTCTGTAAGTATTGACATGGGGGTTACAAATAAATCTTAGTAAGGAGGGGAACTCACATACAAAGTCTGCTAATACTAAGGATCAACTGTATATCCACAGGATTAAGTTTTAGAAGTAGAATTTCTGGATCAAAGGCCATGTGTGTTTATAATTGAGAGATATTGCCAAGTTGGTATCCACAGAAATTACACCAACTTACATTCTGCCAACAATAAATAAGTATTATGCTCTTTATTTTAAGCAATATAAAAAGAAACAAAAGTTAAATGATTTCATCATATTAGTCACTGGAAAAGTTGGCACGGAGAAATGAAAAAAGTTTAGAAGAATGCTAAAACTAATGGCAAAATTATGCTTCTTGTGTGTATTTTTCTTTAGTGAATGCATTATCTTAGTCAATTCACAGAGATTTAGGGGGACTAAATATATGTATTTTTGTCACAATAAAATATCGGGATTAAAAACAATTTAGGTTTCAAACTTCCCTATATCTTCCTATTTTTGAGTATCAAATCACAATGAAAGCTCACATGTGAGATTTAAAACAACAGCCAACTTCCAGGAAATGTACTCAACTTAGTTCACAATGTCCTGTTCTTTTTATATCTTTGTCTACACCAGCAGTTCCAAAAGCTGGAGAGCTTTTTAAAACATAACAGGATTCCCCTGTCTCAGTCCTAGTGAATCAGAATCTCTGGGGAAAGAGCCAAGAAAACTTTATTTTTACGAAGTGTATAGATGATGTTTATGAACAAATAATCTAGATCATGTAGGATCAGACAACAATATCAAAGGATTACCAGGTATCCAATCATGTTTGGTTATACTTCTTAGGGCATAATAACTAAGAAAATATTAAACAAACAAACAAACAAGAGTTTTCTGCCTTCTATTAATCAAAAAATTAAACAAAAGTATCTATACATGTTCGAGATAGAAGGTTCTTAAAAATAACCTGATGAAATAAATGTATTACAGTTTCCTTTTGTAATTTCTGTTTCAAGGATTAACTTACCTGTAAAAATAAGAGCACCCTCGGACAGTGTTGTGGGTGTAGTGCTCCAAGGTCTTTTCGCTGCCATAATCCTCTGAGGGATCAGACCAAAGCAGGTCACACAATGGCCCGAAGGCAGGAGGTTCAATAAACCTGTCTAACTAGAAGATACACAAAAGTCAAAAGAAAAAAAAATCAGGTAAGTAAAAGGGCTTTTGGAAAATAGTATGTGTCAAAGAAAAACAAAACCGCTTTGCATCCACAAGAATCTATTAAGAGAGAAGGCAGTAAGTCCCTAAAGGATTTTCCTAAAAGGAATATTTAACAAATTTCAATTCACAATTTTTATTATTTTTCTGTAATAAATTTTTATAAATATTCTTTTCATCTAACTATACTGTAGAAAAGGACCCACTTACATCCTAATCTTAAAGCAATAATTTAATTTGAATGTGAAATCAATCACTATAGAGATATAGTATTTCAGAAAGACTATGCAAAGTTAATTTCAATTATATAGATAAGTCAATGTCACCATGAGAACAGGAAGGTTTTATAATGGTTCTGCTGTTCCTTGTTTACCTCATTCCAGTGGAGATTTCTTCATTTTAAAGAATGCTAATTTTATTTTGTAAGGACATTTATCCTTTCCATTCTAGGCAACAGAGGCATTTCAATATAAGTTATTAACTTAAGCTTTTAGTCACTGCTGCTTTAGTTAAAAGCAAGAAAACAAAAAGAAAACAAGTAGCTAGAATAGCTCAGTGCCAAGAACAGAGCTTCTACTGAGTGAAAGAGGAGCTTTTTATTAATACAATTGGTTCAGAATAATAAAATTTAAAATTTACTATGTAAAAGAGAAATCCTGGTTATTTTCAAGACAATAAAGAGAAAAGTCAGTGCATATAGGTACACCTTCTTACCCTGAGGAGACTGACTTTAATTCAGAGAGAACAGTTTTATGAATAGGAAAATCTTTAGTTTTCAGTGCCTATAAGAGAGAGGTAAGAGAATACAAAGGTAGAGAAGAGAAGATGGTCATGTAGAATAACACAAGTGAAAAAAGACTAGTCATCTTTTTTCAATAATGAAGATACAGAATCTTGGAAATAATAATCACCATGTAAGGAAAGTGATTAAACTATATCATCTAAAATGTTAAAGTTAATACAATTCAGAGCTGGCAGAGTGCTCAGACCATCCATTCCAACTTCCTCATTTCATAGAGAAGAAGATGCAACTAAGTGATTTGGTCAAAGTCACACAATTAATGGCAGGACTGGGATTAGAACCCTGATTTCTTTCCTTTCACACTGTGACACAATTTAAAGTTTCAGGGCTATACTCTAAGAATGTTATGTTTCTAGTTGGTAAAAGCACAGATTTCACAGAAAATTTCTGGTAGGTATGTACCAAAATGTTAACAGTAGTTATCTTGCAATGATGAATTCATAGGTAATTTCCTTTTTTTTTTTGAGACAAAGTCTCGCATTGTCACCCTGGCTAGAGTGCAGTGGTGTCATCATAGCTCACTGCAACCTCAAACTCCTGGGTTCAAGCGATTCTCCTGCCTCAGCCTCCTGAGTAGCTGAGATTACAGGCCTATGCTACCATACCTGGCTAATTTTTCTATTTTTAGTAGAGACAGGATCTCACTCTTACTCAGGCTGATCTCCAACTCCTGAGCTCAATCAAGCAAGCCTCCCACCTCAGTCTCCCAAAGTGCTAGGATTACACACACGAACCACCATGCCCAGTCTAATTTCCATTTTCTTACATTTTTTTATTAAAAAAAATTTTTTTAGAGACAGGGTCTCACTCTGTTGACCAGGCTGGAGTGCAGTGGCCCATCATAGCTCACTGTAACCTCAAACTCCTGAGCTCAGCAATCCTCCTCCCTCAGTCTCCTGAGTATCCAAGACTACAGATATGCAAAACCACACCTGGCTAATTTTTAAATATTTTTAGAGACAGGGTCTCACTAAGTTGTCCAGGCTGATCTCGAACTCCTGGCCTCAAGCAATCCTCCCACCTCCACCTCCCAAACTGCTAAGATTACAGGCTTAACTCACTGCACCTGGCTCATTTTCTTACATTTGATTATTTGTATTTTAAAAATTCGGCTAAAGATGTATTGGTTGACAGCAATAAAAAACAAATTTTAAAAATAAATCCTATGAAAATAAAAAAAATTACTTACTCTCCTAATGTCATCTAAACTAGTAATTTCAGGTGACATTCCTCCATGTACACAGAGAAACTGCTGGTTTAAGAGGGCAGCAAGAGGAAGACAGTCAAATGTATCCATACACGCATCATACACCTGTTCAGAATATTTGATTCGACCTACAAAAAAAGGAAAAACAGTCAAAGGAAGAAAAGCTAAAATGTTATCATATGACACTATTTCAAAACCATTTATTTGACACAAATTTGAAAACAATCATCTTTATAAAAATATTTTGGAAAAGTTTGGATAAAGCGTTAACAAAATCTCTCTCCTTCTCTTAAAGACAAGTGTGGCCTTGGATTTTCTAGCCCTGCTGCCCTGGAAACTGGATAAGATGACTGTCAGCTGTGTGATTAGGCAAAATTACCCAATTACCTGGTAGGAAGCTCTAGCTTTGGGCTCCTCTGAGGGCAGTGACTCATAACTGCTTATGTCCCTGCATAGTCTGAAAGCTATGCCAAAAAGATTTTACAAAACATATTGACACTTGTGATGCATGAGGCTTCTAAGCCAGAATGGCTCTCTAATCTGTCCAACATGGATATATATTGTTTCTTTGCACATAAGCTGTGACTTGGGACATGGAGGCAGCCTCTGGACTGCTGTATGTGCTTCTGTGAGGATTACTTCAGTGATTAGGAATGCCTGCTGCTGCCCTTCCTGACCTGTATCTTCCTGCTAACTACACAGATGCCAATTATGGTCCATGGTAGTCTTCTGAGTCTGAATTTTTATTGGGTCTTAAACGATCCCCTGAGATCTTATATATCTTGAAGATATATAAGTGGAAACTAGAGTTTTAAGAGACATCAATAAAATGTCAATATTACCTTTTTGCTCATGATTTTTAAGGTCTGTAAGCAAATTATGCTTACATATGCTAACTTTATTATGAGCTCAAGGTTAACAAGAGCCATGTCTTATGTAGTATCTTCTTACGGTTACATCCCTACATCCTGCTTTGCATTGAAACACTATACATTTTGGCTATTTCAAAAGTAGATCCAGTATCGGCTATAAAGTCTGTTGGAAGCAAAAAATGAAAACCCTAGGACCAGAGTTCCCTGTTGCCAATGTCAATAAGTAATTCCTTTAAGAGTCCTAAGCTTGAATATAGGTGGAAATTTAAATTACGTATTAATCATGCTCCATAACATCCTACATTAGTAGAAATGCCTTTCAGTCCTAAGCATGACTCAAAAGAAGCCCTTAGCTTACCTCCAAAAAGGATGCCAACTATGGAGAAAGAAGGCAAGTAAAATAATGTATTATGCCATGTTGCAAATTAAAACAGGAGGTCAAAAATCAAATTAAGCCAAAAGAAGTTCATGTTACATTAATATGTAACTAAAATAAGTTACAAAATGTTAAGGAGTTCATGTTGTATTAATATGTGATTTAAATAGGTTACCTTTAATTTTCTGAGATATTAGACTGAAGATGGTATCTATATTATTCTTTAGTTTAGCTGTATTATCTTCATTTTCTATGATGATTATGTAATCTTTGTATTATAGTATTATATTACTCTTATATTTTATTTTTTATTATATATATATTTTTTTGAGATAGGGTCTCACTCTGTCACCCTTCAAGTGACAAAGTGCAGAGTGCAGTGGTGTCACTGTAACCTCAAACTCCTGGGCTCAAGTGATCCTCCTGCCTCAGCCTCCTGAGTAGCTGGGACTACTCAGGAGTTGTGCAACACCATGCCCAGGTAATTTTTCTATTTTTTGTAGAGATAAGGTCTGGCTCTTGTTCAAGCTGGTCTTGAACTCCTGGCCTCAAACAATCCTCCTGGCTCAGCTAGTGCTAAGCTTACAGGCATGATCCACCATGCCTGGCCTATATTACCCTTACTATTGAAATTTGTTGAAGGCATATAAGTAAGCTAAGCATTTACATAGCATTGTGGTCAAGAGAATGGAGTCTGGAACCTGACTGCCACTGACTAGCTCTGGGGCTTTGGATAAATTTCTTAACTGTCTGTGCCTTGGTTTCTTTGTCTATAAAATGGGCCTAATAATAACAGCTACCTACAATTCAGGATTGCTGTGAGGATTAAATGAATTCATATATGTAAAATGTGTTGAATGTTGTCTGGCACATAGTAGGTATAATGTAACCATTAACTGATAAAATGATTTAATCCTTACAGAAACTGTAAGAAGTGAGTACTATTATTATCTTTGCTTCAAAGCTGAGGAAACTGGGCTTACTTGCCTAAAGTTGCAAGCCAGTAAGTGGCAGAACTAGAACTAAAATATGTTCATCCTCTTAACCACCCTCCAGTACTCCTCTAAATCATTGTTTTTAAATAAGATATTTAATAGGAGAATCTAAATGGCCAAATATATAATTCCCAGAGGTTAAATTAGGTGATTCAAGTGCTTTATATTCATGACAAATTTTTAAATTACCTATACTAGAAGGACCTTATCACAGGTAGTTGAGGTCAAGAGAATTCTACATAGACTCCTATCTTTTAGCCTCCCCACATAGTTTACTTTTCCACAACTTATTACTCTTTGTCCAACTCAGTATGTATGTTCCAACTCTGAGTCTTTGTGTCTTCATTTCCTTATATGGGCTGTGGTGTCATGCAGAATACACATTAAATTTGTATGCTGTTCTCCTATTAATCTGTCTTATGTCAATTTAATTCTCAAGCCCAGCTGAAAAACCCTAAGAGGGTGAAGGTCAAATTTTGCCTCTCCTATAAAAGCTTTGTAATTTTTTTTTTAAATATCTACATAGTAGTTCACTAATGGATATACCACAATCTCACCAGAGCAATCTTTTGCTATTCTAAATAATGCTGCAATGAACAATGAAAAACAGTAGTTATTTTTTTAGAAGTCAACTTGTCATAACAATACTGTTTTCATTAGTAAAATTACAGGAGTTTTTGGAACTTGTCAGTAGTTTTGTCAGTTTTTGGAACTTAAAACTTGTCAGCTGTTTTAACTACATATCAAAAACATGGCTCATAGAAATACAAAATTTCCTTACTGTAGAAACTTGGCCCTAGAACTACGAGGTGAAATCATAAACACACTAGGTTTCTTGCTTTGCAAGTATATACCAAAAAATATTTTGCAAAAGTAAATGTCAAAAATTAACTGTAAGACAAAGATAAATGTGTGAGGTGATGGATATCCCAATTATCCTAATTTGATCATTACACACTGTATATATGTATCAAAATATCACATGTACTCAAAAAATATGTACAACTATTACATACCAATCTTTTTAAAAAAGGAAAAAAGTTAACTGTTATACTTTGCTACCCAAATTATCTCTGGATTTGAATGAATAAAGGAATATTAAAAAAATAAAAATCTAATCTTTAATTGCATTATAAAGCAATTAAAGAATTGATATGAGAAAAGAAAAGCCTCCAACCCACTTCATCCCCCTACAAAAAAGACATTAACAAGATTACAATTGCACAATCTAGAACTAAGCATCACTTAGCAGTAATTATAACATACTAATTTCTTTTTTTTTTTTTTTGAGACAGGGTCTCACTCTGTTGCCCTGGCTAGAGTGTATAAAGTGCTAATTCTAAAAGTCATGGTGGCCCTTTAAAAGACAGATCAGCTTATCAGTAAAAACAGCTATGCAAAATATAGCATACATGCTCTTTCCTTATACAGGAAAATTTTAAATTTGTACTTGAATTTGTGTGCATGTTCCAAGATTTATTTACATTCAGATGTAGCCTTAGAATGAAACAGAAGGAGTATCTTGGTAGATAGAAAAAAAGGAAAGCAACCAGGTGTAACTGCTATTAAAGCCTGTGAAAAGCAAATAAAACCTGAGATAAGAAATTCTGTGCAAAATAAGACACTTAAAATGTTTCCCAAACCTATTGTTCCATTTTCTAAAAATAGTCTGAACCAATTATACCTGTCAAAAAAAAAAAACAAGTCTGACAAAACAGGAAGAATTAAATAAAATGTCACCTAAAAAAAATCCCTGATACTTAATTCAAAACAGAGGTATCCACAGCCAGCTTTCTTCATTACTTATCTACTACTAAATAATAAAAATAGCTGACTTTTATCAAGTATTATATTCCAGGGCCTTTATTAACTGCTATACATGCATTATTTAATTTTTCCAGGTGAGCCAGGTGTCATGGCTTGTGCCTGTAGTCCTGGCTACTTGGGAGGCTGAGGTAGATTGCTTGAGGCCAGGAGTTTGAAGCCAGCCTGGGTGATATAGCGAGACCTCATCTCCAAAAAAAGAAAAACAAAACAAAATAAAGCAATAGAGGTGTTGAACAATACCCCAATATTTGATTTACAAAGACAGTGTAAAATGTTTCAAATTTTTAAAGTATTTGGTGAAGTGATTTCCAAATGACAAAGAGTAGAAACTTTCCAAAGACCTTGGAGCAGTCATGCTTAACCAGCAGCATGCTGCAGAATTACTTGGGGTGTTTTAAAAAGCTTTTTAAATGTTTGGGCCCCAATGGGGTAATTTTTAAATTAGCAGTTTGAAAAAAATAAAATAATTATAAAAGTAATACATAGTAGTGGTGAAAAATGATTCAAAGAGTATTAGAATGGATATAAAATTATAACTATAAGTCCTTCTGACCCAAATCCCCAGACATAATCACTGTTAACAACTTCTTCTGTGTGTTACATATATTTTACAAAGGAGATAAGAGTATACATGCTCTGCAAATTGATTCTCTCATCTAATAATATATCTGAGCATCACTTCATATTAGTACATATAAATCTAACTTGGTCTTTCAATAGCTTCCTAGTATTTTTAAAAAATGTATTATCATTTATTTAATCAACCCGTATTGACACTTAGATTATCTTTTTCTCTTATTATTACAATTAACACTGTAATGACCATCCTTAAATGTCCATATCTTACTGCCTTTTTGTGAGTTTATTTGTGTGGTAGGCAGATTTGGAAGTGATGTGCAATGATCTACATCTTTGTATAATCTTTTTTTTTTTTTAAAACATCTTTGTATAATCTACTCCCCTTTGAGTGGATGGAAATTGTGAATATGATGAGACTCTTTGGCAAAAGGGAGAGTATCCTGAGTGGGCCTAACCTAATCAGCTGAGGGTCAAAGCTCAGGATTTTCTATGGCTGGCTGATCACAGAAGTCAGAGATATACATCCAGGCAGGCCTGGAACAAAGCAAACATCCATCCTGGGAACTACCTATGGGGGCCACGCATCAACGAACTGCGAGCAGTCTCTAGAAGCTGAGAGTGGTCCTCGGTCCATAGCTAGCAGGAAAATAGGAACCTTAATCCTACAGTTAGAAGAACTGCCAACAACTAGTGACCTTGGAAAAAGACCCAAAGCCCCAGATGAGAACTGTAGCCCTAGCAACACCTTGATTTCAGCTCAGTGATACCTTAAGCATAGAACCCAGCCATGCTGTGGCTGGACTACTGACCTATAGTAACTGTGAGATAATAAATGTGTTCTTTTAACCCATTAAATTTGTGACAATTTGTCATGTAGCATTAAAAAGTAATACATGATACATTTCTACAAGTCAAATTGCTAGATCAAGGTGATACATGCTTAAAATTTTCAAAGATATTGAAAATTGCTCTTCAAATATTTCAAATCAATTTAAACACCCACCAAAAGTAGATCTTATTTTTTAAAAAAATTTCCTGGCAATTATATATGATTTAAAGTGTTTATTCCATGCTGGGTGCAGTGGCTCACGTCTGTAATCCTAGCACTCTGGGAGGCCAAGGCAGGTGAATCGCTCAAGGTCAGGAGTTCGAAACTAGCCTGAGCAAGACTGAGACCCCATCTCTATTAAAAAAATAGAAAGAAATTAATTGGCCAAATAAAAAAAATACATAGAAAAAAATTAGCCAGGCATGGTGGTACATGCCTGTAGCCCCAGCTACTCAGGAGGCTGAGGCAGAAGGATTGCTTGAGTCCAGGAGTTTGAGGTTGCTGTGAGCTAGGATGACGTCACGACACTCTAACCTGGGCAACAGAGTGAGACTCTGTCTCAAAAATAAATAAATAAATAAATAAATAGTTTACTCCAGTAAGTCCCCAAGGGTTGGAATGATCTGTTTCTTGCCCACTTATAGCTGTCTTTTCTGGCAGAGGGATTTTTTGAGTATTCATACTCACATTTTTAACAACAATAACTTTTCCTTTCAGGTTCTACTAGGAGGGAGGCTGTCTTTACAACTCCCATCTCCAATGTAGGAAGTTATTGGTAGCAAGAATTAATATGAGCATATGAAACACTATCAAATTGTGATCTACCTATCAGTAAAGGCATTGGATGTTTGGGTGCTTGGATAAACTCTGAGTCTATGAAAACAAATTTAAGTGTTTTTAACTTTGAATACTCTTTTGGGAATAAAACTTTATATATTTTATAATATACCTCTCCATGATAGCACTCTAAAGAAAAATCTGAATGGGATACAAAGTAAAACCATGATCAAAATATCAACTATATGGACACAAGTATTTTTATATATTCAGGACTATTTGGGGAAAAGGGTAGATGGTAGAGACAGATGGAAGCCAAGAGATTCAGTTTAACTTCCTTATTTTATAAAGAATTTGCTAACATTTAGAAATCAAAACAAATATAATTTTGCTTTTGTTTATTTCAGTAGTTTCCTTTTATTATAAAAGTATAAAATTCCTTGGAGAATGAACTGATATATATTCTTTTTGGAGGGCAATGTAGAATATATATCACAAGTCTTTAAAATGTGCATGCCATTTAACCTTTTTTGAGAGTTTGTTCCAAAGGTACAAATAATAGATGCTCACTCAATCAAATTAATTCAACCAATGTTCATTAAGCATCTCCTAGTTGTTGTTTTGGGTGCTGGGAAAACATGAGTGAACAAAACATGAGTGACCATGTCCCTGCTGTCATGGAGCTTACAATCTAGTGGGAGAAAAAGACAGTAAAAAAATAAATATATAAAAATCTCAGGTATTGATAAATACTATGAAAAAAAAGCACAATATGAAGGTAAAAATGATGAGATTTCAATTTAGAAAAGCAACTAGACAAGAAAATCTCTGAAGAAATGGCATGAATGAAGTAGAATGTATGCCTTATGAGCAGATAGCTACCTGAGAATAGAAGAAATAAATGCAGAAGCCCGATCTCCCAGACATCCCCAACATTGTCACCACCACACTGAATGTTAATTAACAGCTAAAAGAAATCTATGTTTGTTGTTTATTTAATAAGAATGCGCTTAGTGGGATCATATCCCATTCATCTTGATTCAGGGTTCCTTTAGTGTTGCTTTCTTATGCAGGAATACCCTTCTATAAGTCTTGCCTTTCCTCCTGTGGGCTGGCAGAGGACAGCAGAGCTGCCAAGACACAAAAGCACCGCCTGTGTGTGGTTAAAGGCCATGGCAATTTTATAGCATCCTGGGCATTTCACATTTCCTGAAGTAGGAACTGGGGCTCGGCACCTTGGTGCTTCTTGTGTTTCCTGTTCTCCTCTCCCAGAGAGGGATAAAGGAGATCCTTGGTGAGAGGCATGTTCTGGTGAGAAGGGTGTCTTCACTGGAAAAAATGTGTTTTTTGAGATGGGGTCCTACTATGTTGCCCAGGCTGATCTGGAACTCTCAGGCTCAAGCGATCCTCCTGCCTCAACTGCCTGAGTATATTGTTTATTTTTTAAATCAACTAGTAATATTTTGACTTTCAAAATAATTCTACCTTTATGTTTACCTTTTTTTTTTTACTATTACAGTAGTATTTACAGTTAGAAGCAATGTAAATGTCCTATAGTTGTTATTCAGTTGCATATATACAAAATAGAGCATTCATAACCTGGAATACTTAAAAAAACATCAAAATAACATTTAAAAATCATGTTTTCAAAAATTTTAATGATATGGAAAAATGCTATTGTAAGGACAATTTATTAGTTATATGAGCTCAATTTTATTTTAAAAATATATACAGATATATACATTTGAACTATTTTATAATTGGTTTTATATATACAGAAAAAAGAATGGAAGACTGTATCTCAAATAGTGAGATAACAGTGATTATCTTTAAGTGGTTTGATTATGGACAATTTTTATCTTCTTTGGACTTCTGTTTTCTAAATATCCCAAATTTATTACTTTACAATTAAGGAGGAAACTCAAAAAGTTATTTTCAAAATAAAGGTCTTATAAGGTGGAATCTTAGTTCTTGGGGAGGGGGAGATAGGAAGTATTTGAGTTCCACTAGTTTCTTTTTTCTTTATATTTGATTCACTTTAGGACAGGCTTTAAAGGGTAACTAAAAAGGTTCTAGAGAAGTGATTATACTTACATTCTTGTTTGAAGGTGAAATAGTCTGTAAGATGCCTACATTCATGATTTCCTCGAAGCAGAAACAATGTTTTAGGATGATTAATCTTTAAACTCCATAAATACAGCACACACTGCAAGACAAATTCAAGGATAAAATTTTCTTGGTGAGCATGATAATGCATAAAGACAATTTATATAAATTCAAATGACTTACTGTAATGGCATATCTCCCTGCTTATCGCCAAATTGAAAAATGAAACCTTCCAGCTTTTGAATGTGATATGCTTGTTGCCCTAGAATTTGACCAAGTATAGAGAGTAACCTTCACAGAAATCTCTCCTCTATTTCTGTTCCCATGTTCTATGTAAATATCTAGAACTCTCTGACATGCCACCTACACACATATGTATATCTTGGTCCTAAAACCTATATTTTATTTAATGAAGAAACACAAGAGGCATTTCCACTAAGATCAGGAACAAGGCAAGGATACTTGCTATCTCCGTTATTATTCAATATTGTACTAGAGGGAGTCTGAGGTTGCAGTGAGTTATGACGATGCCACTGCACTCCAGCTTGGGTGACAGATCAAGTCCTCATCTCCAAAAAAAAAGATATGCAAATATGTTTGTATATGCTTAATTTACTTCTGACAGGTCATGTAAGAAACTCCTCTAATAGTGATTGTAAAAGTTGAATGGCTAATATATGAGGAGATGCTCAATTTCATTAGTAATTAGAGAAATATTAATTAAAACAACATTGAAATACTACTTTATACTCACTGTATTGGTAAATATTAGAAAATGAGATAAAATCTGGAAGGGTGGATATAAGGATATATGAACACGGCAGTGCTGCTGGTAGGAATATGCACTGGTACAGCCACTCTGAAGTCATCTGGCAATCAATACTCAGTTCAAGTATGAATGCTTATACCCTTTGTCCTAGCAATACCATTCTTGTTCATAAACCATAGAGAAACTAAAACATTGGTCCATAATAGGATTTATATGAGATGTTCATCATAGCAGTGTTCCTTTTAGACAGAAATTAGAGGCAAGCTAGGTGTCCACCAATGAGAATAGAGAAATAAATTGTCATAGATACATACTATAAAATACTATACAGTAGACAGAAAGCAATCAACTAGCAGCACATGCAATAACCTGGATAGGTCTTAAAAATACAGTAATAAGTGGAAAAAAATCAATAGAAATAGAGCCACACCACTGGCTCTCAAGGTATAATCACATTCATCTCAAAATGTGGTATATGCCAGCATCACCTGGGAACTTGTTAGAATATAGATTGTTAGGCTCTAGCCCAAACCTAATGAATCAGAAATGGGTGGTCCCAGCAACCTGTTTGCACAAGCCTTCCAGGTAATGATGATGTATGCTAAAATTTAAGGACCACAAAACAGCATATCATTTATGTAAAATTAAAGTAATTTATCTATGAAACACTGTATAGTAAAAAAAATTAATATGATGTATTACACATATTCTGAGGCATATATCAAATACAATAGAAATGTGTATACTGGGGAGAGGGAGTAAGGAAGATAGAGGTCACAGATAAGAAAAAAAGAGAATAAAACAAAAAGAGGGACTTTGCAAAGATAAATGTGCCATGACCTGAGGAGCTTCATCAATTCAACTGAGATTTTCCCACCTCCCCAAGAAGAAAGACTTTTAAATCCTGAATACAAATGTTTCTCAATATGCACAATCCAATCACCAATATCTTCTGCCCATTATATTGGATTAAGTTCCTAATTGGACTCCCTGCACCCACTTCTGGGCTCTAACAGTCAGTTCACCTCAGGGCAGCTAGAGTAATTGTTTTAAAACATAAATGTTAATATATCACGTCCCTGCTCAAAATAATAATAATAATAATGATAATCCTCCAATGACTTCCTATCACATCCAGAATAAAACCCAAACTCTTGACTATGGCCTGCAGGGCTAACATAATCTATCTGCCTCTCTCACTGCTAAATCTCCTACATCTCCTCCTTATTCACAGTTCTGTCTGGTCACACTGGCCTTGTCACTATGTGTGGACTGCTGACACTTGTTCCTGCCTCTGAGCTCTTACACTGGTTGTGTCCTCTTCCTGGAAGGTGTTTTTCCCAATCTATACATGGTTTGTTCCAGCAGGTCATTCTGTTCAAATGTTACCTCCTCAAAAAGGCCGGCCCTGGTAACTCCATCTAAGTTAGTTGCTCCTGTCCCCTTTAACCCTTTAATTTGATTTTCACAGATGGTAAATAAATACATGAGGCTGTCCTTCTCACTAGAAAATATAGTAAAGGACTCTGCTTGCTCATCTCCATATCTAGATAATTTAATCACGTTTTTCAACACAGATCTTACTGACAATTTGAAAATCGTAATTCTTTGTTGTTTAGGAGTCTCCTACATATTGCATGACATTTTGTATCCCTGGAACCTGCTTATTAAATGCCAATAGGACCTTTCAATCATTGTGACAAACTATTTATCCATCATTATACTTAGGTTATGTACAAATTCTCAAAAAAGGGACTGTTACATCAAAGTATATATACATTTTGATACAGACATTGCAAAATAACCATAAAACTTAAATATATAGGCATATAGATGTATATAGAATACAAATAAATATGCTTACAAGGCTTTTTTCTTTTGGGTGCTGAATTTCATTATCAAGATATCAATTTTCACAAAACATTCATAAGGAAAATTATGTTAAATCCATATATAAATTTAGACTTTGCTTTCTCTTTTCTATACACATTCCTTTCCCAACCAAGAACACAATATATCTTTTGATTTATTTGGGTCTTTATTTCTGCCTTTTGGACAGACCAACTCACCTTTTTGAAGTAATGACATATATAAAAGCACAATCTATATCCATAGTACAATGTTATTTGGTTGATATACCTCCTGGCCTCTAATTTCAAGTTTCATTTCTTTATTTTACATATCAGGATGCAACTGTATAATTCAATTATAAGGTCATGATTTTCAGGAGATAGGTTCAGATACTCAATTACTTCTTTACTTCTATATGAACAGAATTTTTACTCTACCTCAAGAATCATCTGTGTGTCAACAGCTGTTCATCAATTGGTCATCTTACAACATTTTCTCCTTGGTGGTTCCTGTGTATTTAGCATGACATATTATGCCGAACATGTCCTCTTTAATCTTTTCTTTTCTCACAAAACCAACTAAAGAAAACTCAAATTCAGCTTCCTCTACCACAAAAAATGCACTTTATAATAGGTACAGATGAGAAAAGAACATAAAAAGGCTCAAAGAAAAGTGAAACTTTACTATTCTGTTTTATAAGTGACATTTAGATCTGTCCCTGGTGTACTAATCAAAGCCCACATTACTTAAGAAAAGACCAATACTTGCTCTGGGCATGAAAAAAAATTCTTTATGCCTTGATTCACTTAGATAGGCTCAAGGTAAGAAAATTAAGTATATAATGAAAAAATAAGGTAAAATAAGATTCTGTGAAAACAATTTGGCAATATCTATCAAAAGTCCTAAAAATGTTCTACTTTTTGATCCAATTACTTCACATATGAGAATCTTGTCTTAGGAAATATCAGAAATGCCATCAAAGATATAGTGGAAAAGACATTAACTTCAGAAATACACAGAACAAAAATAATAACAAAGTAACCTCGTACCACTTACAGTACAAGTGATACAAAACCCAATTCACTGTTGCATAATGAAGACATTATATATCCCACAAAAGAAGAAGGTTGGAGATAAGATATCCAGGTTTGGTGTACCAGCTCAATATCATCACCAAGACACCAAGCCCTCTCTACCTCTTTGATTTTTGATTCATTCATGGCAGGTCTACTTTTCATCCTTAGTCATGTCACCTCCTCATAGTCACAAAATGGTTGCTATAGGACATACATCCATATTTGAAATGACATGGTAGAATGGAGGTCCAAAAGCTTTCACCTTGCAAGAGTTGTTTCATCTAGAATGCTTCCAAAAACAACAAACGAGACCCAGCAGAGTTCCCCTTATATATTACTAGGCAGAAGAAGATCCCATGTTTACCCCTAGACCAAATCACTGGTGACAGGAAATGGATTGTCTTGACTAGTTCAGAACAACCAGAATTTACTGGGGCTGGGATAAGGGCCTTCCTTCCCTGAGAGCAAAGGTTCTCCCTGCAACCCCAATCCCATTTATCTGAATAAAAGAGAAATTTTGTTATTAAGGAAGAATGGGGGGAATGGTAGGCAAAAGCACAACCTGCTACAAACCTATTTATCCAACAATATTAGAGGAATGGTGTTAATAGATCATTGTATTTGTACCGTTAACTACTGTGAAAGTTGGTCATGCCAATTGGGTCATTCTTGTCATACCCAACTAATACAGAGTCAAGAGATCAGGGGAAAAGCACTCAAGGCACATAACATTCTTCCCAAAATGTAATTCTCTGCAAGCCTGTCTGCTGAAGTTGCTTGCTGTAACCTGAAATCAGTTTTATTTAATGGCTACTAAAATGACTGCTGCAATTCTAAGACTATTTTTACCCACTGCCATCACTCACCAATCGAAGCTTGCCGGCTCTCCGGAACCCCACTAGTGCTAATGAACTTTCTCAAAGAGCAATGCATAACCTATCTATCTCTTTTGCATAAAACCTCTAACATTTTGTTTGTTCTTTGGATATACCGAAGACTACCTAGTCTGCATGTATAACTCAAATTACAATTATTTCTTCCCAAATAAAACATTTTAATTTCAAAGATTTGTCTCTATATTTCATTTGACTTCGACACCCCATTCTTACAGCAATTTTTTTTTTTTAGAGACATGGTCTCTGTTGCCCAGACTGGAGTACAATGGCTTGATCATAGCTCACTGCAGCCTCAAACTCCTGGGCTCAAAGAATCTTCCTGCTTCAGCTTCCCGAGCAGCTTGGAATACCAGTACACATCACCATGCCCAGTTAATTTTTAAAATTTTTTATAGATATAGGTCTTGCTATGTTACCCAAGCTGGTCTAGAACTCCTGGACTCAAGTGATTCTTCTTGGAGAAATTTTAATGATAGAGAAAATACTTTCAATACAGTTTTAGGTGGAAAAAGAATGTTACAAAAAGGAATATAGAACATGATGCCAATTTTCTTCAAAAACAAAATATATACAAATGTAAAAGAAGAAAAAGACTGTAAGAAAATATAATAAAATGTCATATAACAGTGACTTTCTCTGATTTATGGAAAGTTTTGTTTTCTTAGATTTGGCATTTCCCAATTTTTCTACCAAAAATGAACTACTTGTAACGAAAAAAAAATTTTAATAAAGATTCTGTGATTTTATTTTCAGCTATTGGACAAAATCATCACATTCATGGTTGTCAAGGACATAGATATAAAATTATTTCAAGTAAATACCTGTATCATATTGGACCAAGCTGTAGCCTATGGAAGCTTAAGCCTAATCTTAGTAGTTTATAAATAAGTGGCTACCAACTAACACTAGATATATCTCACAGGTCATTTTTAAAACTGGCATAAAATAGCATTGTCATCTTAAAGTTTTAATTCATTTATTTTTTAAGTTATTCCAGAAAAACAAGTTGGCAAACATCCAATAACAGGATAAAGCCAAGTATAAACTATGATTAATTCATATTCACTCATTCAACAAATATTAATTGAGTGGCTACTATGTATCAAGCATTATGCTGGGCTCCTAATATAAAAAAATATTTCTAATAACTAAACAAGCACTTTTGTATTATACTGAAAGATTATTCATAAGTGTATAGATTTTCTATGAAACTATGAGCTCCTACAGAGAGCATGAATCTTATTCTTTATATTATTCTCACAGCCTGCCATAAAGTTGGCACTCAGGAAACTTTGTTGATGAGTGAAGAAAAAAATGCCTAACATAAAATATTCTGAACATGGTATATGTGTACAAAGATCATTGTGGATCTGTTTGTATATACTTTATTGACTATATTAATGAGTTAAAACTATTTTAAAACTATTTTTACATTATATGAGTTAATAATAATAAGATAATTTGGCACAATAATTTATCATTAAAAAGTTGTTTCATTAAACAACTAATTAAAAATTCAGTAAGTTTTGTATTCTTTTTCTCTTCACCCTCTAAAACCTCCTCATACTTGTAAACACACAAAGAAATAGACACTCAGTGTGTCTTTCAAACATCCATACTTTTGACTTACTGTCTTTTGAAACATGACTTGAATAGCAATAGGGAAGTTTTTCAATGATATGGTCTGCAAACATGATCTTCATCCATTTCTGGGACCCATTTAGGGACCTTGTACATTGAGCAGCAGTTTTATACCATTAACTTTTGTCCTCACATTTAATAATAAATGAATTTTAGGCACTGGCAGATAAAATTGAACTTTTCTGATTGATGAATTTAGATTGCCTATGTAACTAAAGAGTAAGATCTGTTTATTTTGTTGTTTATTTTTCCTGTAGCCTTAGAACAACTGGCTGGGCATCAGGAGAGATAGTCAATTTGTATTTAGGAGTCATGCTGCAGCAACAATGAACTTTTAACCACCAGAAACACACTTAGTACAGTGAGATTCTCAGACTATGAGGGGCAGCCAGTACTAGAGACAATAAAAACAGCAAGCAGACTCAATTTCTCATCTCAGGCTTATTCTGGAGCACATTACAAATACCATTACCCACACTATTTCAAAAGTTATTTCTCTTTTATTTGCCAAGCATATAGAGTTGAACCAATGAACATTAAATACAAATGTGCTGTGGTCCACTGTACTCTAGTCCTTGTATTATGTTCTAAAATAGTTTTATCTTTTACACATAAAACATTCTATTTGTTTTTAATTCTAACCATGTTCCTGTCATTCAATTTTCAAAATATATAAAAGGAAACTATGTTTTCATTAACTGAACTGCAATTCATTTTTTCCACTTCAATGAGCATTTATTAAGTGGTTACTATGTGTAACAGTATCAGAAATTATTCCTACAATAAGCTAACTGCCTGCTTATTTACCACTCACAGTTAATCTAAGAGTTAAGTGCAGCTCAGCAGCTTATGGTCTTATAATTAAGGTCAGCTAATCCAAACACCATTAAAGGTGAACACCAATTTATGTCACTTGTATGCAGCTTGTACACGATCTTCAAAGATGACAGGTTAGTAAATATTTAACTAACTTATTTGCAAAGCTGGGTTAATATAGCCTTCTATATGTCAAATTTTCTGCTAATTAAAAAAAGGGAATAGCTTTTTTATATCAACTAAAATATTGCTTTATTACTTTAATTTTGAAGTAGCAAAGTTCATATATTCTGCCAGTGTTCTCATTTTAATTTCTTCTACTGAAAAAGACAATATAATAGTTCCAACAAATTCAGTTTAATTTTTACCTCTATACTGAAATAGCCTCTGTCCACATAGTCACCCAGAAAGAGGTAGCGTGTGTTACTAGGTGATCCTCCAACCTCAAATAACTTCATCAGGTCAAAGAATTGTCCATGAATGTCACCACACACTAGGAAAAAGTCATATGGTGAGGTGAGGAAACATGTCTTAGAAGAAAAGAGATCGCAGTTTAACTTTTAACTTAAATAACTTTAGTTTTTGACTAGATTGCTATATAATTATAGTGAATCTATTGATACTAAATAGTCCTACTGGAAAAATTAGACATTTAAAATAGTATTCCTTCAATGAACAACACACATCTTAACTCTGAGGTCCCGAACCCCTGGGTACCAGTCCATGGCCTATTAGGAACCAGGCAGCACAGCAGGAGGTGAGCAGCAGGCCAGTGAAGCTTCACTTGTATTTACAGCAGCTCCCTATCACTCACATCACAACCTGAGCTCCACCTCCTGTCAGATCAGTGGTGGCATTAGATTCTCATAGGAGCATGAACCCTGCTGTAAACTGCGCATGTGAGGGATCTAGCTTGCTCATACCTTATGAAAATCTAATGCCTCATGATCTGAGGTAGAGCTGAGGTGGTGTTGCTAGCATTGCGGAGTGGCTGCAAATACAGATTATAATTAGCAGAGAGGTTTGTATAATTATTTCATTATATTACAATTTAATACTAATAGAAACAAAGTGCACAATAAATGTAATGCACTTGAATCATCCCGAAATCATTCCCCAGCCCCCAACCCCAGGCCATGGAAAAATTGTCTTCCATGAAACCAGTCCCTGGTGCCAAAAAGGTTGGGGACCACTGTCCTAACCAATCCTATAACTGTCTCATAATTCCTAGAAAAACTGTACCACCACATTTTAGCTGGTTATTTGTGATCATTTCTCAAAATTAGCACAAATCTAAGTGCCAACATGCAAATATTTTTCATACCTGTAATTGGAGCCTCTACTTCTATCACGTTCTTCTCTTGTCTCAGGATGGCAGCCCCATCCTTGATTATCTTTAAGGCCACTTCCTCTTCTAGTCGGCCCTCCTTTACCAAATGATTTTTCAAGACCTCAACTTTAGGTTTCCCATTCTCAAATACTTCCTTCAAAGTAAGTCGCTGGGTTGGAGGAAAGGGAACAGCTAGAAAGAGAAAAAATAATTTAAAATACTTAACTGTATAGAAAACAACCAGAACACACTTTTTTTAATGTGACAAATTAAACCTAATAAATCACTATGATTTTGCATCCACAGCACCAGAACTATGTAGGAAAAAATTCCAAGATACTGTGTATGATAATGATCACCTCTAATTGTAAAAAAGATCATAGTTACCGTCAAAGTCATTTAACAGATTTGTGTGTGCACATGTGTGTGCATAAATTATAATGTTTTATATATAAACATGAAGGACTCAAACCTGAACTGGGAACAAAGCTAAAAATGAGACAAGGCATGAGATGATATGAATATCTTTATTTTTCTATCTGTGGAAAAGGTATTAAAAATGAAACTATGGTTACAGAAAATGAAAGAAATCACACCACTAAAATGGCATTTATTTCTTCCATAGAACTGACCTAATACTTTAGAAGCCTGACTTTAATTCTTGATCAGGGGGATCATGGATACATACTGCATTTTTAAAAGGTAGTTGCCTCATGCCTTTATTACTGATAACAAGAAGAACATTACTGACAGGATGGAGCTATGTCAGAGAATAATGTGCTGCACTAACAGAGCATAAAATAAGAATAGATATGCAAAGTCCAGTTATGTTTTCTAATCTGGAAACGCTAACAACCACACTGGGTACAAAGTTTATATATCTATAATACTACAGTGAATTAGCAACTGCAACAGAAAAAAATTATGACATTTAAAAATTGGTTGTTATCTCCTCATTTGTCTACTTTATAATGCCCAGGAGTTCAAGGCTGTAGTAAACTATGATCACATCACCACATTCCAGCCTGGGCAACAGAATGAGACTCTCTCTTAAAAAAAATAAAAATATAAAATTATGATGAAGCTGAAAAATTCCTATCAACTAGTGATGTCATAACCATAGTAACATTGTCTACTTTAGGTCCTCTGGGATCTAACAGCCACAAGTCTATAAACCATAAATGTAAAAGGAGGGCACTTTGATTTCAGCTCAAGGCCCTGAGCTGAAACATCCATGAGAGATATCTATGCCATGAATGGACTTCTGACCCACACAACTATGAGCTAAAAGATGGGTGCTAGTTTATGACACTAAATTTGTGGCAATTTGTTACGCAATATAGACTCTTGGGTAATTCAGGAAGTCAAAGTTGTTTACTAAGACTTTTAGACAATTACAAATACATTTTCAGTGTATGTTTACACAAGGATGTTTACTGGCTGTCTCTTAGAATTGAAAGAGAAGTCAAAACTTGTAACTGTGCTATGACTCATAAAATAGATAACGTGAACCAAACCAAACCACATGTGTATCATAGACTATCTAAACTCAAACTAGATCCTTCACCAGATCCTTCAGATCCAAGTGCAAAGACAAGACCTCAGGCAAATTAATTTAACAGTAACTCTACACATACTAGATCTGATCTAACACTTAGCACTTTGTGAGTTCTAGCAACTCATCTTGATTACAAATTCTAACTCTTGTCCAGATTACAAAGTTGTACCCTACAATCTAACAACTGTCACTAAACAAACAGTACCCAATTGGTACTGTTTCCTAACTGCCTCCCCTTTTGAGAGAGCACTAGTATCTCTGGGTCTTTCTGTTTTCTGCAGCAAGTTAAATATACTCAACTTTTTAAAATTAAAAACTACAAATAAATCCTTCATGGTTTTGGTCAGTGGGCTTGAACAACTGGAGTTTCCACTAAGAATCAGCTGAGCCCCTTGTTTCTGCAACAATGTAATAGTGTGTATATCTGAGACCCTTGAGTTTCCACCTGCTCAAGACCACCCTTCCTGAAACAATGAGGTGGCTGAGCTTTGATAATTTTATTGAGCACTCCAGTGTCATGGTGATATTTGGGTCCTCTGATTTTTCAAATCTTAATAGACTGCGCTATTCCCAAGTATAATTTGCTTCTGCCTAATTTATGTCATTCCTATCCCTCACCTGCTTGTTCACTATTTCAGTGTCATTCATCCGTAAGACGGAGTCCGCAGAGAGAGGAGCGCAGAGAGAAGAGAAACACAGGCCTAATAAGTCCATCCTCCAGCCAGCCCCAAAGGCTGGCTAGTTCAGAAGGTTTCATCAGTCCAATATCTTTGGTCAAACTTTGCCTCAGGTCGCCTTTTCTAAAACTCTGTAAAGACTTTTCTTAGTCCTTATAATCCTAAGAAATGTTTTGTTTAGTTCTATCTGCCTGGAACTGCCCTCAATTGATAAGAGCTGGTCTCTGACGTCACATCATGTCTTCTGGAGACCCATGGTTGCAAATGAGCCATTCTTACCAACCACTGCAAGTCACCTGAGATTTTTCTCAGTCTAACTCTGTGTCTCTTCTGGGCCTCCTCTACCTGCTTCCTTCAAGTTTTCAGATTATGTATGACTATAATTCAACAAATGGCTTAATCCCACTGAGGAAAACTTTAGAATTACAAATGCATCTTGGGGAACTTTTACCATGAAGAGGATTGTTTATTTGAAGAGACTCCTTAAAACAAGAAAAAAACAGATACTTGAATATTCAAGGATAGAGACAGGGTCTCATTACGTTGCCCAGGTTAGCCTCAAACTCCTGGGCTTGAGCAGTCCTACTGTCTCAGCCTCCTGAGTAGCTAGGACTATAAGCACCATGCCTAGCTTAGTTTGTATTTAATTAACATGAAGAGGCTTCCAAATGTAATGCAAATTCTAAAACTGATTAAGTAAAAGACTTCTCAAATCCAAGAGTAAAAAGTTTACTGAAAACTCAGATTTGTGCAGACCTCCTTGACCTCTGACCAATCAGTCCATATTTTGGTATGCCTCAGAGATGTAAAACCTGGAAAAGGCAAAAATCACCAAAACATTCTGTTAACTCTTAGTGCTAGAGTGTAATAGTGTCATCATATCTCACTGCAACCTCAAACTCCTAGGCTCAAGTGATCTTCCTGTCTCAGCCTCCTGAGTAGCTGGGACTACAGGCATGTGCCACCATGCCCAGCTAACTTTTCTATTTTTAGTAGAGATGGGGTCTTGCTCTTGCTCAAGCTGGTCTTGAACACCTGACTTCCTGCCTTGGCCTTC